GAATTCCCAGTGCGCAACCCCCCCCCCCCCCCCCCCACTCAGTGTGCCCACTCTACTCATTGCGTCTCCAATCAGTGGTACTGTACGATATTTTAAGGCGGATCTAGAATTTCATCAAGGGAATGCCCATTAAAAGATCTCCTTTGCTTTCTGCAATATATTTTACATATTTTCAGCATATTTCTTCTTGCAATGAAAATAATGAATGAATAAATAAAAAGATTCTCTCTGGAATGTTAGTCAAAACAGAAAAAAATGACTTTATCCAAATTAAATGCCACCATAAAGTTATTTTTCAATGTTTTCAGGCTTTTTTGGTCACATTTAAAGAGGACACAAAAGAAATCAAACAGGAGATTGAAATTAGCTCTGTGGATAAACTGGAGGCAGTTCATGTGTCTCCATCTGACGGGAAGAAGGAAACCTTCGTCTTGCATGACTATAAATTTGTAAGTATATGTATATGTGGAATTGTTATACCTAATGACCATCAAGAAGGTATAATCGTTTATGAAATGTGTTTGTTTTCTAAATTTTAATCATTGTAACCAACACTTTCTCATTATCTTGATTCCTGATTTTTTATATCCTATCTTATTTATCTTTAGTGGTTTATCTTAAACATCTAGTGATCTGATACAGATACCGTGTATAAATAATCAAATGCATATTTTTCACCAATAGGGAAAGACAGCTCTTCGTTTCGCAGACGACACGTCTTGTTACATCCGTGACATGGATAGCAACATGGCGGAAACAAATGTGACTGGTCTTGAAGAAGCTTATCAGAGCGCTGAGGTAATTGTTTCATTTATGAATATTCATATTGTTCAATGGCCCATATCATTTAATATACCCAGTCTCATAAATATCATAACTGCTGTTTTTCCTTTCTGCTTTGAATACATAAAAATGAAAAACAAACAAACCATGAAAATACACCAAAATTTTAATTTCGGATTTGAAAAAAAAAAAGATTATTGGTTTTGACTGAACCGGATCTACAAGGTATTAAGAAGAAGAAGAAGAAGATATCTCCTGCGTCCAATCCCTTTGCGGTTTTATATTATTATTATTATTATTATTATTATTATACTTTTGTTTTCAAGCATCAAGCCCCTGGGCAGATCACAGAGACAAAGGAAAGCTACTACCATGCTTTGGACACAGTGGTGGACCGCGCCTCTCTCAGTGACGCCATCTTGAACTTCTGCGGCGGCCACAGACTTCAACTTCTTGAGAAAACGACCAAAGAGGATATAGAAGGTATGTCGTAGTACAACTTATTGAAATTTATATTTAGATTTTTAGAAAGGAAATTATGTGAAAATGTATGCATAAATGAACTAAATAAATAAAAACATACATGCAAAATAAATTAGCATATGAATAGACAAATATGGGAACAAGTGAGTAAAAAAAGATGGATGGCATAATGAAAAGAAAAATGTTATAAATACTTCTGAAAATGCGGGAACTTCGGATAGTAAAGAACTAAAAATGAATAATATATGATATATTAAATGATTGGTATCATGTATACAAAGTTTGAAATTTTTATCTTTCTCTTCCAACAGCCTCAACAACCACGAAGACAAGAAATCGCCGTGACCTCTTCGATCGTTTCAGTGCCTACGCCAAGAAGAGACTAAACAGCATCAAGAGTCGCCTAGGTGGTGGTGTAAGCACTGCCACTTTCGGTGGTCATCCTCCACCCCCTCCTCCACGTAATCTCGGCGTCGCTGTCCAAATCGACAACGCTTACGATCCTCACGACCCTTACCTTGGCGGCGGTCACAAAGACCCGTACACACCAGTCCACTCTGGGCCAAAAGATCCTTACAAGGGAGACGGTCACGTTGATCCTTACGATCCCCATCATGGCGGCTACCCGCCAAAAAGCGGAGGGCCGTGCTTCGAGCAATCTGCGTGCAAGGTGAAGGAGGGCTGTACCGTGAAAACCGAAAGGACCTGCGCCGACTATGGTTGGTTCTTTGGAAACCGCGGAGGGATCGGACGCAGGAGATATCTAAGCGACCCCAAATGTCTGCGATGGAGGTACGCCGATGTTAAAGACTGTGTCAACGTCAACAAATGTGAAAAGATCTGCACGTAAATTGTCAAAATGCAACAACAACATTGTCCATCTACGGCATTTTACAGAAAGGAATAACAGATCTCACAAGAGCACGAGAAAATTAAATGAAAGACTTAAAGAGTTTGATGCCAAGTTGGTTAATTCTTAAATAATTTTTCAGGATGTCACGACATTCCTTGCATTCTATGTGTCTGTAAAAATGTTGTTCAATGGTTCAGAACCATCTTTAGCTCAACCATTTATATTTTCCGTATGAAGTATTTTACACATATCGATGTAATTTTAGTCAGAATGTTAAGAACCCCTTATGTACCAGTCAAATTGCCTTCGGAAGCAAAGCAGAGCAAATTTAAAGAGTATTGATCTCAAATTAACCTACTGAAAGTGCTGGCCAGTTTTAGATTGAAATGCACTCATAGTCTAGTGGGATTTCCACAAAAGATGAATAGTAGGGGCATTTTGGGGTAAAAGTTGGGAACCAGGCTTATTAGCATAATTTTGGGATGCTGAATCCGATTTACCCGGTTCCCAAGCGAAATTTTGCGTTTTTAACTGTCTAATTTTCAAAAAAACAAAATGGCCGCCAGATTTCCTATTTTCTGCAATATCTCTGGGACTAGACAGGTGAACATGATAAATGAAGTGTCTTTACCTATATTTTCAGGGTCGAGGAACATTATTAAAATGTTTCTGTTAGAATTAGATTTACGCAATTTTCCTAAATATGCAAATTAGGATCGCCTTTACTAAAAAAAACGTTTTACTTCTGTATCTCTGTAACTAGGCAAGCAAACATGACAAATGAAGTGTCTACACCTATGTTCTCAGGGTCAGGGAATGTGGNACTATCATTCAACATTTCTATATTACCTTCATCTTATCCTGTCATCAACTGTTATTACCCCGGTATATTTTAATAAACATATATCATACCAACTACGCTTCTTTTCATTTTCCAAACCAATTAGCTATGACTCGTACTGGCTCCTGCTGCTACCATGGTTCGTATACAGAGTACCAGCCAGGTCATTTTTAATTCATAGAATAATTAACTTTATATACGGGGAAACCATGGCAAAGTGAAATCACTGCTCATACAGCATCATTAAATTTAAATGAATCCAACACGGCTCCTTTAGTTTACCAGCTAGGACCATTCCCAGACCATATCGTACTAACTGTGGATCAATCTATCTCCAAGGGGATTCTCGCTAAATTGCATTCAACTTAAGCGGCTTAGATGTCTGTCACGCCCACTGAAGCTTTTGGGGGTAATCAATTATCGTTTAGCAGCTTGAATAAGCGTGCCAGACATCTAAGCCGCTTAAGCTGAAAGCAATTTAGCGAGAAACCCCTTGGAGATGGATCGATCCTGTTAGATTACTCTAGGTATGGGAGCCCATTCTAAGTCATTTTTAATTGATAGAATTATGAACTTCATATACGGGGAGGTCATGGCAAAGTGAAACCACAGCTCATATAGCATCATGATATTTCAGTGAATCCATTCTCCATATTTAGTTATATACTTCCAATCCTTGTTCGTTTGTGTTATGTAAAATTTAAATCATTTGGGGACAGGCAACCTCCTTCATTTAACCATTCTGTCAGCGTTCCCTCTGGGTACCACTTAACCGGCTCACTCGGATCGTTAAGTTTTGCACACAGTTCGCAATACGATTTAATACGCGGGACCGTGTAGTAATGGTTTTTCCATTCCAAATACTTCACGTATGACGTGATATTGGTGGCTAGATAATGAAGATATCGAGCCAAATCTTTTGGTGACGCGAAATCACTCGTGGAAATATGCCAGCTTGGTTGTATCCCTACTCTGGAGTAATTTGCCGGACTTCCGCGCGTAATTGGAACTATATTGTGTTCTGCTGTTTTCCAAAATTTTTCTGATATATAATCTTTTGTGATACTGTTTTCAAATGCAAGATAGAATTTATATTCTTTGAATACGCGTGCTTCACATTCTTTATTTTTACTCCTAGAACATTTGAATGGACCACATTTCCCGTAAATGTCAACATCAATGTACTTCTGCAATTCTTTCACGTAACTCTCTCGTCTGCTTCTGGTAGCACAATGGCTCACAAACCAAGCCACCATTTTGGATTTCCTCAGAGCGATATCCGTAAAATTCTTCACCAAAACATTATCTCGTTTTCTTGGAAAAGACCACGGAGCAAAAATATCCGAATCCAGCCGATACGTCATGGTCCAGTTGAACATTCCCGCCCATGGCCCACGAACTTCCTTGGTGTGGCATGAACTTTCGTGCGTTACCCACACCCAGCGCTGGTGAGGTAATTTTCTAGGTTTACTGCCCAAACTTCTGGCCACGAATACAATTGCATCACTTTGGTCGGCTAATGACCTATCCTCGGTGTAGACGCAGTGGTCTATTTCACAGCCTAGTGACTTAAAAACTGGTTTGGTAAGCGCGCTGAGATTCATGTAACGCCATCCCGGACCTGGTTCCCAATACAAAATCAACTTCGGTTTGCTGAATGACCTGGGGTCAGTTTTTTGAGGCCAATACTCAGTCTGGCCTTCGTCCATCTCGATGTCTGCTGCATTGTGAAGCCGGTGGTGAATAGAAGCCCAGATTATTCCATGGACGTCTGATAGTTTCAAGAGCATGAATAATGAAGATATGCCGAAAAATATTGTCATGGATAAGATTGCTGTATGGGACGATTTTTTAACGTTGCAAAGCCCGTTTGTCCTACTCCCTGAAGGGCTTTTACCACCAGAGGTCTCCTCCATGAATCGAAAAACACTGGTATCCTTCTAATTTCTTAAACTTTCTATCAGTCCCAATATTTAAAAACAGTCACAGGGTTGGTCTGTGAGTATCTGAAAAAGCATTTAACAAAGGTAGTCCATTTACAAGGAACATACCAATGCAACAATGTATGTTAATCCCTTTACCTTTACAAAGCGCACTGTAGGTATCTCTGTAATATCCTTTATCTAGGTCGAATTCAAAGCTGTTTCACTCAAAGACTTTAAGAGACTAGCTGCGGGGTAAAATTTGTATGCAACCGCAATCTCCGTAGTCTCAAGGCAAATTCAGAACAAGATGATACGCAGACTAAGGGGCCGTTCAGAATAGATGATCCGAGTACTAACTGCTCCGCCGACCAAATATGGCCGACCCCACTTCAAAAGTGATGCCGCCAATTTCATGATGGTCTCACCGCCTCCACACGCGCCGTCGCTGCAGAGGCCTAGCAATTAAACCTCAGAACCGAGATGTAATCCGTTTAATGGCGCATGTGGACGTGGGGAGGCCATCGGGAACCAGCGGCAACGCTTTTGAAGTGACTAACAGACCCTTGGACCAAATATGGCCAACCCACTTGAAAGCTTGCCGATTAATTCCCTAATAAACACTGAATAGATTTACCGCGAAGATTACGCGGTAAGCTTTCAAGTGGGTCGGCCACATTTGATACGCGGATCTGTTAGTCCGCGGACCAACTTTGGTTGTGAATGCGACCTCAGATTCAAGAAAAGGAATGCCAAGCCAAGCTAGGATCCAACATAACCTGCAGATGAAATGGCCAAAATTATTGTAATTGTTGAAAAAGGTATGAAGAACAATCCTCTGGCATGGAATTCCGATAAATCTCAATGTTAGGTTGTCTTGCTTATGAAGAGTCATAGGAAATTGGGGTTATTAGTGATAAAGCTCAAAGACGTGACTCTATGACATCGGTTTCACTGCCCTGTAGTAATTATGCACATCTATTTGCCGTGGATTTTATCTTAAAATATCAAGAAACCAACAGTAGAGCATATATATATATATATATATATATATATATATATATATATATATATATATATATATAAGCCCTTCTAATTAAGATATATTTGCCGATGATTTCTATATTACTAGCACATAACCATATGGCGTCTGATAAAATATTTACACTTGTGCGTGTATGATTAAGCCACAAGCGTAAGGAGTTAAAAAAAAAGAAAAATTCAACCAGGACATCTGTGCAGTTTTATTCCGTTTCTGTCACTTACTGTTATTCGAGTATGAACTACTTTGTCAGGTAGGAACTGTCAAATGTTTATCTTACCTTTCAATACCTCAGTTCGTACACTCGATAAGCCTACCAGTCATTTTGCTCTGAATAAGACATGCAGGTAATACAAGACGCAATAACTTATCCACCAGGAAACAATGTACTGCGCAGAATCAACAGCGGCGGAATTGGCATGGCCTACGTGATCATTCGAAAGTTTGCTTGAGGGCGGGAAACATTTCCTGACGAACTTCGTGCATACGAAAGTCCGTGCAGTGTCACCGATGTCATGGAAATTCCTCTTTTCACGCACACGAATAATATTGTGGAGGCATAACTGTTAGACAAGCAGATGAATCTTACCTTGTTTTGAATTTCATGTGCAGCGTTGTTGAAAGATTTGAAAGACCCCGCATCGTGACAAAAGCACTAACTGGCTGTCATTTAACAGTAGTGTGCAGTTTTATTTTCCATACGTTTGCACATATGGCACCTATTTGAGACCGTTTAAAACGTGCTACCTTAAGAATTGTAAGCAGTTATGTACGTTTATGTGTGCGCCTGTGTCTGTTCCCGAATAATTAATGGACGGGTGTTGTACAACCTACAATATTTGCATGACTCGCTCTCCCTCGAATAATTTTTCTCCATATAATTGATCGGACTTGAAACTCAAATCATGTTTTTTTTTTCTGAACGATGCAAGAACACGTACTCATTTCTCTTTTTTGATGGAGATAGTGTGTGTTAATGTAAGCACTGCGTCTGTGTATACTATGTATCGTTTTTCTTTTTTTTTTCGTAGGATGCTATACATTGCGTTGTTAATGTCAGTATATTGTCCCACAGTTTATGTCACAAATATGTGTCTATGCAGGCATGTGTTGCCACATATTATCTAAAAGGTATCATCACAAACACACACCTGTGATTACCAGCATACACACTGAATATGAATTTGAAAAAAAAAACAAATAAACAAACAAACAAACAAATAAATAAATAAAATAAAATAAAAAAGAAAAGAAAGAAAAATGAAATACAGACAGGTGTCTTAAAACAACCACATTAAATCACCCAGACTTACAACCTAAAACCTAAACAAGCATCAGCTTCCGTAAGCATCTTAGCGTATGCACTACATGTACCTTTGTCAACGCTTAGATTAATGCAGACGCTGATGCAGGCGCTATAAGATTTGTGTCACGTGGACTCCGGGTTTCACCTGAACAGCAAGAGAGACCGCCGTCATGGCAGATGAACGCCTCAGGAGATGCTGGGCCGCCAAGAGGTTTTGGGTTGTTATTTTGACACCCTTACTGTTACTCCCTCTGCCTATTCTCACTGGTGATGACGTAAGTACTCTCTTGTGCATATACACGGTACCTTCTACATGTTCGAGTACCTTTTCACTTAAATGTTCTTTGTTATGTTTAGCTACGCGAGTATATGTAATGTAAATGTATATGCACACACATGCCTCCCCTGCATGTATTTACATAGTTGACAAGTACCCCAGTGCGGTCACAAGGGACTAGCTGTGTCTCTGTATAATGTATATGCTTGGAGATATGTTTGGAGGCATGCCCACGTGCGTATCTCTCCCCCCTCTGTGTGTGTGTGTGTGTGTGTGTGTGTGTGTGTGTGTGAGAGAGAGAGAGAGAGAGGGGGGGAGAGAGAGAGAGAGAGAGAGAGATGGTGCAGACATGGGTCAGACATTGCCATAGGTTGGGCATATTGAAGAGGTGAAAGGAGCGCATTTGCTCTTAGCAAATATCGCGCATGTAACGTTTGTCCCTCCTAAAGCACTGCTTTTAATCCCCGATTAGGAAACAAATAAAAACAAGTGAGAAAATAGTATCATTTCAGCTGGCTCCCTTGTGTATGGTCAATCCTTTCTGTGTCAATGCCTTCGCCCCAAGTTGAATAACTACACATATTATGACGATAACCATCTGTCAGGGGGTCAAAAAGTAGGCCACAAACTCGTAAAGTAACAAGAAGATTGCTGGCAGCTAAAGACAAGCCGTACGCGTTTTGATATGCCTCAAATCCATATTTCTATTTCTACTGTAAATATCCTGTTAAGTATATAAAACATTGAGTACAAGTGCAGGGACGAATGTAGTGATGGTTCATGGGAAGAAAAGCGCTAAATTTCTCGAAAGAAATCCGATTTGGTGCGAAAATCTCGTATCGGTATAACTTAGATATTGACTCAGCGATTCTGATTAATCCTAAAATAATCATCTTATCCAAAATGCAAATATGAGTGCAAGTAAGATGTCTTGCACAGCTCCTAAGGTAGACCATGGTAGCTGAATAGTTAATGAGTCTCAATGCATGAAATAATATTTTGGCACGAAAATCCATGCAGTTCTGTCTAAGTGCTCATTTCCAATGAAACTATCGTTCTACGCAGATCGATCCAACCCCAGCGGGACTCTCGCTGAATGCAGTCAGTTTGACGAGGAACAAGCCTCCTCCTAGAGTTGAGTAAGACCCCATTTCCATAGATTTTAGATCGATCTATCCCTGTGGGGAGTCTCACTAGATTACTGTCAGCTTAGCCGGCTTAAGCGTCTGTCCCGCCTACTAAAAGCTGTAAAGGGGTAATTAACTATGGTGCGCGATCGGCTGACTACAATTTAGCGTGAACCCCCAGGGAGTTAGGTCGATCTAAATTTTAATCTCTGGATCGATCTAAACCTCTGGGAATACACCCTAAAACACAGCAAAATCGGTGGTTATAAGAGCACGATGGAAACAAGAGGAGGCTCTGTTTGATTGCATTCAGCGAGAATTCCCGTGGAGTTGGATCGATCTACGTAGAGAATGAGCCCTAAGCTGATTCTTGCCTCATAAAAGGTTCTCACTGTTTGCGACATGGGAGCCGGGGGCTTGCGTGACTACGCTCGCCGAATAAGTGATTTAAACTGCGATTTTATGATCCGACTGCAAAAATACTACCCACGAGCACTGCATTATAAACTGAAAAGAATCTGCTCAACCTTTAGCCTAGTGTCTCGATGTTTACACATGCTTCTTTGTCATGACCGCGAATATAAGGAATAATAAGGGAATACCGCTTTTACGTTCTCTCAATCTCTGGTTTGGACGGAAAATGCCGAAATGGCCGGTAAGGGGAATTGGGGTTCGCAGGTTATAATGAGGTGCTTGCGACAAACTTTTTTTCTTACAATCGGACCGTGAACAAAATTAATAAGTCTGATTTGGCGATCGCAATTATATTAAAATGTTCTGTTTTGCGAGCAATGCCTAAAACATTAATGTACTTATTTCCTGATAAAAATACACAGTTTTAGATGTACAATGTGCGTTAGGACATGTACTACTTGTACTTTAATTGCGAAAATATGACGCAAGTTTCTCTGTTATTTCAAAAATAGATTATTTGAGTCGATTGAGAGATTTATACTGTTTAATTTAATTTATAAAAAAAAAATCAGAGAAGATCAGCTGTCGATGTAAATTACATAAGCTTGAATTCCGGGGCTCTTTTATCTGTCAAAAGTCATGAAGATGAGCGTCGATGCCAAGTATACCGAGTATGCGGTCAGTAACCCCCCACCACCCTTTAAACATGTATAAGGGATTAAGATACAAGAGTAAACAGACGCAACTCGCGAGGACTGTCTCTTTGATTAAACATCTACCTTGTTTTATCACCTTCCACTTTAGACCCGCCTAGCTACCATACACCGATGTTTAATATCTGTAACACAGTTCGGCCCTGCCCATCGAGAATCTGTGCCGATATGTTTTGTGATAAATCGCATACATACAGGCTGCCGAACTTTGCAGCCGATGGACCTTTTTAACCTGTTGAAATCTGTCAGGTCTACACATGGGTGCAGTAATAGATGGACATCATGATACCACTGTGCTCACCTGATAAAAATAGGTGGGAAGCCATATACAAATAATGTATATAAATACTGCCAGATTACAGTTTTACAGGTATTGTAATGTAGTTTTCCAGAAATGTTTTATTTTAATTATTGTTTTGTAAAAGGAATTTCAATTGCAACTCTATAACATCTTTATTATTTTATCTTCTGCTTCACCTTAGATCGGAAAGACGGGTTATATCGCCTTGCTGATGGCGATCTACTGGATCACAGAAGCTGTACCCATGGCAATGACAGCGCTCATCCCTGTCTCTCTGGTACCTTTACTGGGGATAATGACGGCAAAGGAAATCAGCCAACAATACTGGAAGGTAGTGTGTGAGTGTGTGTGTGTGTGTGTATGTGTGTGTGTGGTTTGAAAATGTCATTTGGAAATAGTTGGAATGAATAAAACTAAACATAGTGGCACTGGCGATTTGTTTTGCCATACTAATATGTTCTAGTAAAAGGAATTGCGCTGTAGTTGGATTAATTTGATAGTAAAGGAAGAAGAAAGATTACATTGCTTCACTTTGAATTCCAGGACATTAGTATGTTACAGCTAGCAGGATTTATAATGGCCGTCGCCATAGAGAGATGTCACCTTCACAAACGGATGGCATTAAAAAAGTTACTTCTAGTTGGAACCGAACCAAAAAGGTCTCTCTCTCTCTCTCTCTCTCTCTCTCTCTCTCTCTCTCTGAGTGTCTTGAACTGAAAAAGAAAGAAATTCTCGAGTTTGGCATAAAAAACACGATCGATTTGAAAAAATAAAAAAGCAGAACAATTTAAAAATGAAAGAAAACGTGTTGATCTACAAATGTATATTATTGAAACGTAGGTTACTGTTTGGGCTAATGTTGATCACGTGGTTTCTGGCAATGTGGATGAGCACCACTGGAAGCACTGTCGCCATGATGCTCCCAATCCGTCTGGAGGAGTTGGATACAGAGAATGAAGGTATGCTTATTGCTTCTACTCTCAGAGTTTAATCCTTTGGGATAAAGGTTCCCCCAAAAGTGCTTTTAAATATGGCGGTATCCTTTAACCGTTTTTATTTTTTTCTTATGGTAAGCCTGCATGCTTAAAGGGATAATAAATGTTCGTTTTGGGCAAAAAATGAATTTTCCTGGAGTAAACAACAATTTTCTCATACTTACCAATGGTTAATGAATCCATTTTTACATTCAAAGTTAGTCCCTTTTTTTTTCTAAAAAGCTTGTTTTNAATAATAGCTATAACTGCCGTTTTTCTTGAACAACAGAATATATATTATATTTCTATTAGTTGTTCACAATGTTTTTATTGTGAAATATACAGACTTGACATTTAATATGGAATATTTTTTCAAAATCATAATCCATCAGTTTTTTCCTATTTTGCTATTTTGATGTCTGTCACGCCCACTGAAGCTGCTAGGGGGTACTGTTGTTTAGCAGCTTGAGTAAGCGTGTCAGACATCTAAGCCGCTTAAGCTGGAAGCAATTTAGCGAGAAACCCCTTGGAGATGGATCGATCCTGTTAGATCAATCTACGTATGGGAACCTAGTCTTAGTTTTATTATTATTATTATTATTATTATTATTATTATTATTATTTTTGATAGAATAATGAAATTCATATACGGGGAAGTCGAGGCAAAGTGAAACCACAGCTCATATAGCATCATGATATTTCAGAGAATCCATTCTCCATGTTTAGTTATCTACTTCCAATCCTTGTTCGTTTGTGTTATGTAAAATTTAAATCATTTGGGGACAGGCAACCTCCTTCATTTAACCATTCTGTCAGCGTTCCCTCTGGGTACCACTTAACCGGCTCACTCGGATCGTTAAGTTTTGCACACAGTTTGCAATACGATTTAATACGCGGGGCTGTGTAGTAATGGTTTTTCCATTCCAAATACTTCACGTATGCCGTGATATTGGTGGCTAGATAATGAAGATATCGAGCCAAATCTTTTGGTGACGCGAAATCACTCGTGGAAATATGCCAGCTTGGTTGTATCCCTACTCTGGAGTAATTTGCCGGACTTCCGCGCGTAATGGGAACTATATTGTGTTCTGCTGTTTTCCAAAATTTTTCTGATATATACTCAGTAATCTTTCGTAATGCTGTTTTCAAATGCAAGATAGAATTTATATTCTTTGAATACGCGTGCTTCACATTCTTTATTCTTACTCCTAGAACATTTGAATGGACCACATTGCCCGTAAATGTCAACATCAATGTACTTCTGCATTTCTTTCACGTAACTCTCTCGTCTGCTGCTGGAAGCACAATGGCTCACAAACCAAGCCACCGTTTTAGATTTCCTCAGAGCGATATCCGTAAAATTCTTCACCAAAACATTATCTCGTTTTCTTGGAAAATGCCACGGAGCAAAAATATCCGAATCCAGCCGATATGTCATGGTCCAGTTGAACATTCCCGCCCATGGCCCACGAACTTCCTTGGTGTGGCATGAACTTTCGTGCGTTACCCACACCCAGCGCTGGTGAGGTAATTTTCTAGGTTTACTGCCCAAACTTCTGGCCACGAATACAATTGCGTCACTTTGGTCGGCTAATGACCTATCCTCGGTGTAGACACAGTGGTCTATTTCACAGCCTAGTGACTTAAAAACTGGTTTGGTAAGCGCGCTGAGATTCATGTAACGCCATCCCGGTCCTGGATCCCAATACAAAATCAACTTCGGTTTGCTGAATGACCTGGGGTCAGTTTTTTTAGCCCAATACTCAGTCTGGCCTTTGTCCATCTCGCTGTCTGCTGCATTGTGCATCCGGTGGTGATTAGAAGCCCAAATTTTTCCATGGACGTCTGATAGTTTTAAGAGCATGAATAATGAAGATATGCCGAAAAATATTGTCATGGATAGGATTGCTGTATGGGACGACTTTTTAACGTTGCAAAACCCGTTTGTCCTACTCCCTGAAGGGCTTTTACCACCAGAGGTCTCCTCCATGAATAAAAAAAAAAAAAAAAAAAAAAAAAAAAAAACGCTGGTATCCTTCCTATTTCTTAAACTTTCTAACGGTCCCAATATTTAGAAACAGTCACAGGATTGGTCTGTGAGTAACTGGAAAAGCATTTAACAAATGTAGTCCATTCACAAGGCACATAACAATGCAACAATGTATGTTAATCCCTTTCCTTTGCAAAGCGTACTGTAGGTATCTCTGTAATAGCCCTTATCTAGGTCGAATTCAAAGCTGTTTCACTCAAAGACTTTAAGAGACTAGCTGCGGGGTAAGACAATTTGTATGCAACCGCAATCTCCGTAGTCTCAAGGCAAATTCAGAACAAAATGATACGCAGACTAAGGGGGCGTTCAGAATAGATGATCCGAGTACTAACTGATCCGCCGACCAAATATGGCCGACCCCACTTCAAAAGCGATGTCGCCTATTCTATGATGGTCTCACCGCCTCCACACGCGCCGTCGCTGCAGAGGCCTCGCAATTAAACCTTTTTAAATTAAGCAATTAAAATTAAAAGCCGAGATGTAATCCGTTTAATGGTGCGTGTGGAGGCGTGGAGACCATCGGAAATCACCGGCAACGCTTTTGAAGTGCGGTCGGCCAAAATTAGTCGTCGGATCAGTTAGCACTCGAATCATCTATTCTGAATGGCCCCTAACAGATCCTCGGATCAAATATGGCCAACCCACTTGAAAGATTGCCGAGTAATCCCCTAACAGACACTGAATAGATTCACCGCGGAGATTACACGGTAAGCTTTCAAGTGGGCCGGCCACATTGAATACGCGTATCTGTTAGTCCGCGGAACAACTTTGGTTGTGAATGCGGCCTCAGATTCAAGAAGAGGAATGCCAGGCCAAGCTAGGATCAACATAACCTGCAGATGAAATGGCTGAAATCATTGTAATTGGCGAAAAAGGTATGAAGAACAATCCTCCGGCATGGAATTCCGATAAACCTCTTATAAAAAAACAATGTTAGGCTGTCTTGCTTATAGCTATAGCTTAGTTATAGCTTAGAGTCATAGGAAATTAGGGTTATTAGTGATAAAAGCTCAAAGACGTGACTTTATGACATCGGTTCCACTGCCCTGTAGTAATTATGCACATCTATTTGCCGTGGATTTTATCTTAAAATATCAAGAAACCAACAATAGAGCATATATAGATAGAAGCCTTTCAAATTAAGGTATATTTACCGATGATTTCTATATTACTAGTGCATAACCATATGGCGTCTGATAAAATATTCACTCATGTACGTGTATGATTAAGCCACAAACGTAAGGAGATAAAACATCAGGCCTACCCAACTACCAGACTCGGCACCTAAGGATCCTGAATTAACCGGTATATCAGACCACACTACCCGTTTTCAAGGTGTGTGTCAGATCGCATTTCGGAGTATCAGCCAGAACACCGACAGGATGAGCCCTGGCATGCTCGTCTGTCACTTTGATTGGATAGTAAACGACTGTCGTAAAATCGCTATATGATTTTAAAACCGGGCGCATAAATTTGAAAGCCACCTAGATGAACCTTAGACTGCCACATTAATCTAATACAATGCAAAAAAGCCCTATCAAAAGTGGTTAAAACATTCAAACCGAATGTCGTAAAGTCCCCATATACCCCCATAGAGAGAATAAAATAGAGTACTCTAAAGTAAGAGTACAGTTTCAGGTTGTTCAGCCGAGCGTGGATGAGCCCGCAGCCGTGCTACAAAATTTGTTCTGGGGTATGATACTCCATAATGCGATCTGACACACACCTTGAAAACGCGTAGCGTGGTCCGATATACCGCTTAATTCAGGATCCTTAGGTGCCGAGTCTGGTAGTTGGGTAGGCCTGAAAATTCAACCAAGACATCTGTGCAGTTTTTTTTCCGTTTCTATCACTTACTGTTATTCGAGTATGAACTACTTTGTCAGGTAGGAACTGTCAAATGTTTATCTTACCTTTCAATACCTCAGTTCGTACACTCGAAAAGCCTACCAGTCATTTTGCTCTGAATAAGACATGCAGGTAATACAAGACGCAATAACTTATCCACCAGGAAACAATGTACTGCGCAGAATCAACAGCGGCGGAATTGGCATGGTCTACGTGATCATTCGAAAGTTTGCTTGAGGGCGGGAAACATTTCCTGACGAACTTCGTGCATACGAAAGTCCGTGCAGTGTCACCGATGTCATGGAAATTCCTCTTTTCACGCACACGAATAATATTGTGGAGGCATAACTGTTAGACAAGCAGATGAATCTTACCTTGTTTTGAATTTTATGTGCAGCGTTGTTGAAAGATTTGAAGGATCCCGCATCGCGACAAAAGCACTAACTGGCTGTCATTTCACAGTAGTGTGCAGTTTTATTTTCCATACGTTTGCACATATGGCACCTATTTGAGACCGTTTAAAACGTGCTACCTTAAGAATTGTAAGCAGTTATGTACGTTTATGTGTGTGCCTGTATCTGTTCCCGAATAATTAATGGACGGGTGTTGTACAACCTACAATATTTGCATGACTCGCTCTCCCTCGAATAATTTTTCTCCATATAATTGATCGGACTTGTAACACAATTTATGATTTTATTTTTGCCCTGAACGGTGCAAGAATACATACTTATTTTCTCTTATTTTGATGGAGATAGTGTGTGTTTTAACATTAAAATGTAGGAACTGCGTTTGCGTATTCTACTTATCGTTTTTTTGTTTTTTTTTTTCGTAGGATGCTATACATTGCGTTGTTAATGTCAGTATATTGCCCCACAGTTTATGTCACAAATATGTGTCTATGCAGGCATGTGTTGCCACATAATATCTAAAAGGTATCAGCGCAAACACACACCTGTGATTGCCAGCATACACACTGTGAATATGAATTTGAAAAAAAAAAACAAATAAACAAACAAACAAATAAATAAATAAATTAATTAAAAATAAATAAAAAAATAAAATAAAAATGAAAAGAAAGAAAAATGTAATACAGATCGGTGTCTTTTAAAACAACCATTTTAAATTATCCAGACTTACAACCTTAAACATGAACAAGTGTCACCTCCCGTAAGCATCTTAGCGTATGCACTACATGTACCTTTGTCAACGCTTAGATTAATGCAGACGCTGATACAGGCGCTATAAGATTTGTGTCACGTGGACTCCGGGTTTCACCTGAACAGCAAGAGAGACCGCCGTCATGGCAGGTGAACGTGCCAGGAGATGCTGGGCCGCCAAGAGGTTTTGGGTAGTTATTTTGACACCCTTACTGTTACTCCCTCTGCCTATTCTCACTGGTGATGACGTAAGTACTCTCATGTGCATATACACGGTACCTTCTACATGTTCGAGTACCTTTTCACTTAAATGTTCTTTGTTACGTTTAGCTACGCGAGTATATGTAATGTAAATGTATATGCACACACATGCCTCCCCTGCATGTATTTACATAGTGGACCAGTACCCCAGTGCGGTCACAAGGGACTGTGTCTCTGTATAATGTATACGTTTGGAGATATGTTTGGAGGCATGCCCTCGTGCGTATCTCTTCCCCCTGTGTGTGTGTGTGTGTGCGTGTGTGTGTGTGTGTGTGTGTGTGTGTGTGTGAGAGAGAGAAAGAGAGATGGTGCAGACATGGGTCAGACATTGCAATAGATTGGGTATATTAAAGAGGTGAAAGGAGCACATTTGCTCTTAGCAAATATCGCACATGTAACGTTTGTCCCTCCTAAAGCACTGCTTTTATTTCCCGATTAGAAAACAAACAAAAACAAGTGAGACAAAAGTATCATTTCAGCTGGCTTCCTTGTATATGGTTAATCCTTTCTGTGTCAATGCCTTCGCCAAGTTGAATAACTACACATATTATGACGATAACCATCTGTCAGGGCGTCAGAAAGTAGGCCAGAAAGTCGTAAAGCAACAAGAAGATTGCTGGCAGCTAAAGACAAACCGTACGTGTTTTGATATGCCTCAAATCCATATTTCTATTTCTTAATATCCTGTAAAGACTATAAAACATCGAGTACAAGTGCAGAGACGAATGTAGTGATGATTCATGAGAAGAAAAGCGCTAAATTTCTCGAAAGAAATCCGATTTGGTGCGAAAATCTCGAATCGGTATAACTTAGATATTGACTCAGCGATTCTGGTTAATCCTAAAATAATCATCTTATCCAAAATGCAAATATGAACGCAAGTAAGATGTCTTGCACAGCTCTTAAGGTACAGTGTATACCATGGTAGTTGATCAGTTAATGAGTCCCAATTGAATGATATTTTGAAATAATCCAGGCACGAAAATCCATGCAATTCTGCCTAAGTGCTCATTTCCAATGAAACCATCGTTCTATGCAGATCGATCCAACCCCACTGGCACTCTCGCTGAATGCAGTCAGTTTGACGAGGAACAAGCCTCCTCCTGGAGTTGAGTAAGGCTGTATTCCCAGAGCTTCTAGATCGATCTATCCCCGCGGGGAGTCTCACTAGATTACTGTCAGATAATCCGGCTTAAATGTCCGTCCCGCCTACTACAAGCTGCAAGGGGGTAATTAACTTTCGTGTCCGCCCGGCTAACAGCTATTTAGCGTGAACCCCCAGGGAGTTAGGTCGATCTAAAGTAGATCGATCTAATCTCTCGAAATGGGGTCTAAAACATTTGTTTAGCAAAATTGGTGATTATAAAAATACGATGGAAACAAGAGTAGGCATTGTTTGATTGCATTCAGCGAGAGTTCCCACGAAGTTGGATCGATCTACGTAGAGAATAAGCCCTAAGCTAATTCTTGCCTCATAAAAGGTTCTCACTGTTTGCGACATGGGAGCCGGGGACTTGCGTGACTACGCTCGCCGAATAAGTGATTTAAATTGCAATTTTATGATCCGACTGCAAAAATACTGCCTGCCCTGCGAGCACTGCATTATAAACTGAAAAGAATCTGCTCAACCTTTAGCCTAGTGTCTCGATGTTTACACATAGTTCTTTGTCATGACCGCGAATATAAGGAATAATAAGGAAGTACCGCTTTTAGTTCTCTCAATCTCTGGTTTGGACGGAAAATGCCGAAATGGCCGGTAAGGGGAATTGCGGTTCGCAGGTTATAATGAGGCGCTTGCAACAAACTTTTTTTTTTTTACAATCGGACCGTGAACAAGATTAATTAATCTCTGATTTGGCGATCGCAATTGTAAATTAAAATGTTCTGTTTTGCGAGCAATGTCTAAAAGATTAATGTACTTATTTCCTAATAAAATAACACAGTTTTAGATATACTTTGTGCGTTAGGACATGTGCTACTTGTACTTAAATGGTGAAATATGACGCAAATTTCGCCATTATTTCAAAAGTAGATGTTTCACTTCGACATTTATTATACTGTTTGTACTTATTGATAAAAAAGTCACAGAAGATCAGCTGTCGATGTAAATTACATAAGCTGGAATTCCGGGGCTCTTTATCTGTCAAAGGTCATGAAGATGAGCGTCGATGCCAAGTATACCAAGTATGCGGTCAGTAACCCCCAACCACCCTTTAGACATGTAACAGGGGCGGATCCAGATATATTTTTTGACAGTCTTCCAAATTATCTTTATTGATCCATCCTCTACTTTTGACTGTCTTCCAACAGAATAATTAGATACCCGTCAATGTAAACTTGAAAGTCTGACTGTCTTCCAGAAGACCCAGAAGACAGCCTAAATCAGCCCCTGTGTAAGGGACTAAGATACAAGAGTAAACAGACGCAACTCGCGAGGACTGTCTCTTTGATTAAACATCTACCTTGTTTATCACCTTCCACTTTAGGCGCGCATAGCTACCATACACCGTTATGATAGAAACGCCGATGTTTAGTATCTGTAACACAGTTCGGCTTTGCCCATCGAGAATCTGTGCCGATATATTTTGTGATTGGTCGCATGCATACAGGCTGCCGAACTTCGCAACCGATGAGTATTTTTTTTTTTTTTACCTGTGGAAGTCTGTCTAGTCTACACATTTACACACAAAAAGGACTTTGCAGGTGCAGAAATAGATGGACATCATGATATCACAGTGCTCCCCTGAAAAGATTGGTGGGAACCTTATTTTTTAATTTTAGTGATATAATATTAATGCTAACACATGCTGCCAGATTACAGTTTTACAGGTACTGTAGTTTTTTCCAGAAATGTTTTATTTTAATTATTGTTTTTAAAAAAGGAAATTCAATGGCAACTTTATAATATCTTTATCATTTTATCTTCTGCTTCACCGTATTAGATCGGAAAGACGGGTTATATCGCCTTGCTGATGGCGATCTACTGGATCACAGAAGCTGTACCCATGGCAATGACAGCGCTGATCCCTGTCGCTCTGGTACCTTTACTGGGGATAATGACGGCCAAGGATATCAGCCAACAATACTGGAAGGTAGTGTGTGTGTATGTGTGTGTGTGCATGTGCGTGTGTGTAAGCGCACGTGTGTGTGTGTGTGTGCGTGTGAGTGAGAGAGAGAAAGACGTATAGATGAACACATCAAAGTTGCACATCTGTCTCTTTTATTTCCAAGAAAAAGAAAAGAACAAATCCTCTCTGAAACAAAGTTTGAAAATATTATTTGGAAATAGTTGGAATGAATAAAACTAAACATAGTGGCACTGGCGTATTGTTTTGCCATACTAATATGTTCTAGTACGAGGAAGTGCGCTGTAGTTGGATTTGATAGTAAAGAAAGAAGAAAGATTACACTGCTTCACTTTGAATTCCAGGACATTAGTATGTTACAGCTAGCAGGATTTATAATGGCCGTCGCCATAGAGAGATGTAACCTTCACAAACGGATGGCATTAAAAATGTTACTTATAGTCGGAACCGAACCAAAAAGGTCTCTCTCTCTCTCTCTCTCTCTCTCTCTCTCTCTCTCTCTCGCTGAGTGTCTTGAACCGAAAAAGAAAGAAATTATCGAGTTTGGCATAAAAACACGATCGATTTAAAAAGATAAAAAGGCAGAGCAATTTAAAAATCAAAGAAAACGTGTTGATCTACAAATGTACATTATTGAAACGTAGGTTACTGTTTGGGCTTATGTTGATCACGTGGTTTCTGGCAATGTGGATGAGCACCACTGGCAGCACTGTCGCCATGATGCTCCCAATCCTAGAGGCGATCCTTCTCCGTCTGGAGGAGTTGGAAACAGAGAATGAAGGTATGCTTATTGCTTCTACTCTCCGAGTTTAATCCTTTGGGATAAAGGTTCCCCCACAAGTGCTTTTAAATGTGGCGGTATCCCTTAATCGTTATTTTTTTCTGATGGTAATCCTGCCCACTTAATTTTTGATTCCTTCTCACCTGCTATACATGTACATGGTATACGTAATTATCTTCATTCAATTTGGCAGAGACCCCAGATAATAACTCGTCAGAGGGCGAGACTTATCGCGAGAATCCCGCCTATATAACCTCACCCGATGACGACACGGGCGTGGTGAAAGCGGACGACGGCGATCTTGCCCATAATAAAATAAACGACGTGGAGAAGTCTCCCGGCGAAAAACCAAAGCGCCGGTCTACCAGTTCTATAAGGGACATGCAAAAAGGGTTCACTCTGTCTATTGCGTATGCTGCGAGTATTGGGGGCACAGCCACACTGACGGGACATTCTACGAATCTTATATTCAAAGATGTGGCAGATCAGTAAGCTTCTTTTTCATTTAGTTAATACATTTATTCATCTATTTATTGTTCAAAAAGTCATCAATGTAAACAGGTAATAAAAGGATAGAATTCTCTGAAATAATGTTAAATAAGGATACATTTTCAGAACAAAAGGAGAATCTTACATGTAAAATGTTTAATTCATTCATCTTTCTCTTTTAGTTATCTCTTTCTTTGAATACACGTATTTATTTCTATTGACGTTTTTCTCCATTCCATTCCGGATTTTCTAAGTATGTTTTTCTCTTATATTTCCAGAATATACAGTGACAGAAAAGCCCTAACCGACCCTGGTATAACGTTTGCGTCATGGCTGATCTACGGTTTCCCCGTATCACTTCTGGTCATGCTGTGTACTTGCTTCGTCTTGCAGTTGTTCTTCTTGGGTTGGAGGTAAGATAATATACATGTAGGACAATGTTTATTTACTTAAAAAAAGTGCAAACTTACTTTATCTACTTAATTAAAGGTGTCACCCGATGATTTCGGATGTCTTGACACAGCGTTTTGCTGATTTTATTGGTTGTTACCAATGTCTCTATATATTTTTTACCTTATGTTTCTACATAAAGCTTTTAAAAATAAAAACAGTGTTGTTTTAGAAGTGTTTCCGGTGATTCATGTTATCACAACATTTCGCGGCACTTACACTATTCCAGTCCTAACCATACTTAATTAAAAGCCGGGCGAGTGGTTTTATTAATTAATTTATTTTTACTTCCTCGGTTATTTGAAACAGTTGCTGTTTTGGGTTGGTGCATGTAGGTGCACTAAGTTGAAATGTGGAGCTGTATGCCTGACTTTATTATAGGGCCTACTATGTTTTATCGCATTACAGTACATAACATTACATTATATTAAAGCAATAATAACTCTTCCTTTGAGATTCAAAATTCCGCATGAAATACATTGTAAACAACGCATGGAAATATATTCTATTGTATTTTACCACTAAAACGGCCGTTATTGTAGTAAACCTAAAATCTGTGCTTGTCAATAGGGCTTACGATTCTTTTCTTCCTGGTCATCAAGGCATTCGTTGCTAATGACGTAATGGTGTCACGCGGATTCTCGCGTTCATTCGAGACCAAAATAACATATGGCGGCAAACGCAGTAATGCAGACGCAGACGTAAGTTGCGAGTTTTTGTACAGTGCGTCGGATAACGAAAAGCCCAGAATGGCACACATTGTGGATAATAATGTATTTTTAACAAAAAGACGAATTTATCTCATGAATCTTATATAGTGTTGTTGTTGTCTGCTTTTCCCGCGGTTTTAAGTAGGTCAACAGTGACTATGCGATGTCAGAGAGAGCTCCGTCAGTTAAAATCTCTTAAGAGATTTTAACAAAAAACCGTACGTTTAGGAAAAAAACCCTGGATTAACTTTGAATGCAGGAATGGGGTCGCTGACCATTGGTAAGTACGGGAAAATTGCCGTTTACTCCAGGAAAATCCAATTTTTGGCCAAAATGAAGAGTTATTATGACTTTAATACTAGATTATATTATGTATCCATTTTATAGAGACACGTTTTGTCAGGGCCAGGCTTTCAGAGGAAAGGAAGAAGTGAACAAAGTACTGAGGAAGGAATATGAAAGACTGGGCTCCATGACGTAAGTACAGCTGGCGCTTTCTAAGGGCTCAGTCCCTCAGATTTTAGATTGATTTATCCCCGCGGGGAGTCTCACTAGATTACTGACAGATTATCCAGCTTAAATGTCCGTCCCGCCTACTACAAGCTTTAAGGAGGTAATTAACTTTCGTGCCGTTCGGCTGACAGCTATTTAGACAGCGTGAACCCCCAGAGAGTTAGGTCGATCTAGTTGGATCGATCTAATCTCTGGGAATGGGGTCTAACACTGAATTACCTCACGTAGATCAATCTAACGGGATCGGTCCGACTCCGATGGGTTTCAGCTTAAGAATATTGTCACCCTTCGCCCAAAATTTCTCATTTATTGCCTTACATGTACATACATTCTTTTGGGTGATAACTAAATCTAATTAATATTTACTACACATGCAATCATACGGATGACGTCATAATTGTGATTTTGGGATAAAAATTGAAAAATCGGTTTCTCAAATTTCTCTTTTACCTGACACCAATGATCACCGTTTCAACGCCCATTTACATGTAGTTCTCCAAATCCCCGCTAGCGATTTTTCCTAAAAGTCTTAGTACAGATTTTATCGTTGATAAAGCAAAATAATGCCTTGTTTAATGAAAAGCTGTAACTAGGGGCTCATAACTCCATAACAAAAATATTCAAACCAAAATGATGTCACGGAATTGAAGCCCATTCACTTCTGGTCTACTCAGTCAATTTTCATGATAAAATCTTGTTCAGTGACGAAGTTACACCAAATACCGAATGCTGTCTCACCTCAATATAAAGTTGCCTATGCTTTCAATGTATACATTGCAACGAAAAAATATAAACGCCGTTATTTTATATTTGCGAGGGTTTTTTCATTGTTTTAAATAAGCACAAAGATAGATACACTATTGAATAATTAGATGCAGAAAAAAACTCATTTTCGGTATCTGGATGGTAATAAAGGGTTTCAATATCCTTAAGCGGCTTACTGGTAGATGTCTAGCACGCCTACTGAAACTGCTACACGATAATCAATTACCCCCAAGCAGCTTCAGTAGGCGTGACAGACATCTAAGCCGCTTAAGTTGATTGCAATTTAGCAAGAATCCGCTCAGAGAAGAATTTGATAAATGGCGTAATAACTATAAATTAACCAACCTACTGATGATTCATTTATATGTTAAACAATGAATTTAATATTTTATTTGTCTATTTATGTATTGTTTGATTGATAACTGCAGACTATTTCCATTGCAATTATAAACATCCATCGCCTTTGGGCAAATATCATAATTTAACAGTAATGTAGTGCAATTATGTCATTCAGGACTTGTGAATTATTCTCTCGTTTCATTTTAATCATTAGGTTTGCAGAGAAGGCGGTGTTGGTACATTTCGTCTTGCTGTCGTTACTATGGCTGACTAGAGACCCACGGTTTATAGACGGGTGGTCTGTCGGCTTCAAAAAGGGGTAAAGAAAGACGGTTTCATAATGTAGTCGTCTAAACACAGAAAGTGTCCAATAGTATCAATAGTGCATTTTCTGTTTTATCGTGATGATTGATTTAATGGTGCCCGCAATGATGAAATTAAAATACAGCTTGTGTTAAGATTAAGAAATGGATTTTGATTTAGCATTTTCGACATACCAGTAATTACTGGCGCATGGTGCACTTGCCATTTTAGCAGTCTGTAATCTATATTAACGTAGTTTGTAACAGAGTAATGCTTTGAATGGATATACCGAAAGTTTCAAAAGTGTGTGTGGGTGTTATATTTTTACCTGCTTTTGTCAATCCATTTGCTGAAACAAGGGACATCCTTCTGAATTGCTGTAAATTGACAGCTGTTTTCCTTTTGCTAGTTACGTCTCGGATGGTACCGCCGCCATGGCTGTTATATTTTCCCTATTCATTATTCCTTCCAATCCGAAGAAGTACTTTGGTTTTTCACCAGACACTTCTACATCTGATGATGGTAAGTGTGAAATGCATAGTACGTGCACTGAAAAAAAAACGGGCAATGGATGCACATAAACCATTTGTAACAGTCTCCTATTGCTGAATCATTTATTTTTGTTAGCTTACTTTCTTTACATTCTACTTGCAAACTATGAAAATGTTATAAAAGTATGTGAAAATAACTCATTGTTTTCCTGTGCTTGCAAAGACGAAGACAAAGATGAAGACTCCCCGGAGACTCTCATGGATTGGAATTATGCACAGAGAAAGGTGGCGTGGAATATACTTATATTGATAGGCGGTGGAGTGGCGCTTGCTGCTGCGTGCGAGGTGGGAAATAGTTCTAAAATTCATTTAGTCTATTTATCGTATTTATTTTGACACTTAGTTGGTGTTTGATGCAGTGATTTTCGTAAATCAAAAGAATTAAACCGTATATGCGTAGTGAAAGGTTGATTCCAATAAAACGATAAATACTTTTTTTTTTTACTTCAAAATACTTTCTTATATTGCACACACGTACCAAGCATTTGTTGTGTATATATTCTACTTTAGGCTTCAGGACTGTCAGATTGGGTTGGTGCTAAATTGTTTACGTTGTCAGATCTGGCTCCCTGGCAATTGATAATGGTTTTATGTGCGGTTTCCACGGTAATGACAGAGTTTGTGACAAACACAGCCACGACCACGCTGTTTATGCCAATTGTTGGGGGCGTGGTAAGTCAAGAAAGCCACCTTAATTTCTGCCTGCTGAAATGAATAATATTACGTAAAATAATTATAATAATACTAAATAAATAAATAAATTAGATGGGTGTATAGTTTGTAACTAATGTGTAATAACATATTTTACCTGTACATTTTTGTTTCATTACATTAATTTTTTTATGATTATTGAAACTTTAACAACAACAACAACAGCAATAATAATAATTATTATTATTATTTCCCCAGGCCGTGCAGTTTGGATATAATCCGGTTTACATAATGTGGCCGGTAGAATTATGCACAAACATGACATTTATGTTACCAGTCGGGACCAGCGCTAATGCTTTCGTCTTTGCTTATGGGAGGATTCGTATAATAGACATGGTGAGTAGCTAAATCTCTGCCTTCGATTTTAGTGTAGTATGTAGTATTGGATGATCTTTTCAGAACCTATCAAGCGTGGGCCAAGGAACAAATGATTATATTGTGGTGGTGATCCACAATTAATGAATCAATTGTTAATTATTAGTTAATCATTTGTCCCGGCGAAGGTCTGCACTCTCTGAGTGCTTTTCTTGGTATGATTATATTTTTTTTAATAAGTCGCAAATAATGTTTTATGTTTTATATTGGAGAAATGAAACTGAGCCCAAAACTACATGTACAATGTACTTACTTTCATACATGCGTTATGGGCGTTAACATTGCTTTACATCAAATTTGCTGAGAGTTTGGGACTGGTAATAGGGTGGGATCCTCCGAAAAATTGATTGGATTTCTTTTTGCAAAAAAAAATTTTTTTTTTTTTTTTGCAGAATTTGATTATTTATGTCGAAACAGACTTTCTATATTTTTTTTTATATTTACCACTTAAACTTTTCTGTTCTGTTATGCAAAATATACTTTTTTAATTTTTTTTTTCAGGTAAAAGTCGGTTTCGTCTTAAACATCGTCTCTTTTGCAATCGTTAACCTTGGAGCTAGCACTTGGGCTTACGCAGCTTTTAAATGGAGCGATTTCCCATTTAATTCTACCTCACTGGTACAAAGCTACGGACACTATTCTACGGTGTTTGTCTAACCCTCACCTTTGCTTGAACGGAAAGATAGGATAGTAAATGCTCCATCGTGATAGTATCCTACATATAGTATTTCAATTGTCGGACGTTTCCTTCAGGCGTTTTCGTATTCTAGATTTTAATGCGAGGACTGCTTTTAGTAGGAGCGTGCATTTAATTACTATGCAATGAAAACAAACGTTTGTATTTTTTTAAATATATTTTTATAATCACTTAAAATTGTACAAAGGACACCGTGAATTGACAATTAAGCAGAGCATGAGACTGATTTTATACTTAATTGAAATGAGATCATAGGTACCAATGTTAAATAAAATACCATGTAAATTGTTCTTACTCGTTCTTTAAAACAAATAATGTATAACCCGTATACAGTTCACACATTTCAGAAAGTGAATCGCATTTTAAGTGCACAAATCCTCGCATTTATTAACAATAACGCAGTCTTTAACATCCACGTATCTCCACCTCAAACAACGGGCGTCGTCCAGGTATCTGCCTCTTCCCACTCCTCCACGGTTCCCGAAGAACCATCCGTAATCCTCACAAGTGCGATCGGTGCGGACGGTGCATCCCTCGTTGACCTTGCAAGCGGACTGTTTCTGGCACGGAACATCGACTTGTTTTTGCTGGTACCCGCCATGATGAGGCTCGTAAGGATCAACATGACCACCTTGATGAGAATCGTAAGGATCGGCATGACCGCCACCTTGGTGAGAATCGTAACGGTCGGCATGACCACCGCCTTGATACGGATCTTTGCGACCGCCAACACCGCCGTTGTTTAGGTAAGGGTCGTCAGGACCGTAGGCATTGCCAAGAGGTACAACAGCACCGACGTCGCGTGGGGGTGGGGGAGGGGGTGGACCTCCAAAAGAGGCAGCGCCAACGTCTCCCCCAGACTTCTTGCCGTCGTCGTCGTTGCTTCCAAGACGAGCGTTGATTTTTGAGAATTTCCTAGTGGCCAACGCACTAAAATTGTCGAACAGATCGCGGCGGCTTCTTGATTTGGAAGTGGCTGTTGCTGCAGAAGAAAATATCAGTCACATTTGAGTTGGATATTTTTCAAGATCAGTGCAATGGAGTGAATGATTTATAGAGTCCTGATGACATCATCTGTTCTTTATTTTGGTTTATGCATTACTACTATTACAACTACTACTACTACTACTACTATTACTACTACTACTAATAATAATAATAATAAACAAAAGCCGAGCAACAGTTAATCCCTACCACATATTCTTATTTTTCGAAATATGGCAATAAAACAGTACCCGAACTTGGCATATTATGAGGGATAAATTTGATTAAAAAAAAGTCTATTAATGATTAGAAAACAAAATAAAAGGTCTATTTTTGGTTAGAAAACAAATTACCCAATATTGTCCCTTACCTTTGATATTTTCTTTGGTAGTTTTCTCAAGAAATTGCAATTTGTGTCCAGCACAGAAATCCAGGACGGCCTTGCTGAGAGAAGAACGGTCAACGGGAGCGTCCACGGCCTGGTAGTAGGATTGCTCGACGCTTGAGATCTTCCCAGGGGTCTGATGCTGATGAAATATATATGAAATGGTTTATATAGGAAGAGTTTTATGCTTGTGGTCACGTTATTCAAGCAACGCTGGTGTACTAGCAATACTTATTACTTTTAATCAAGTTAGGTAATTCTTTTTAGAACAGTATTTCAACTTCTTTTACAAACTATATTTCAGTATACATTTTTCATCTACCGCAAGTATCATTCAAGGCTGCGGTACATATTCTCACGTATAATAAGGTCCAAGTTGCATAGGCTACAGGGATAATTACGACTAGACTATAGAAAGTTATATTAAGAAACACAGACGCCTTGCGTCATTGCTTTTCTCTTCTTGTAATCTTAATTTGTCCTGGATTAGGAAGTTAATGAATTACCTGAGCTTCTTGGTAGCTCTGCTGTAACCCGGTGACATTAGTTCTTGTCATTCGCTTTTCCATGCTGCGAATATAGCAAGATGTGTCGCCTGCGAATCTCAAGGCAGTTTTCCCCTGAAAACACGAAGAAATGGTGTTTGTAGCTACAGTAATAATATGTAATAGTGATGACACTTGATCTGCTGTGTCATAACGCCCGTCGAGTCACAGTTCAGCTCAGTGCTCAAAAGTAAATAAGTTCATAATCTGATGAATTAATTAGTCAAGTATAATGATAATGATCGTAGTGATGATGATTACGACAGTGATAATGAAAATAATAAGAATATTGCTTTTACTGCTACTTGTTATCATTTTTATCACAAGGAAACAATTACTTTTGCCAGTAAACAATATACCCCCCCTCCAAAAAAAAAAAAAAAAAAAGAAAAAAAAAAGAAAAAAGAAAAATGAGCTGCTTATGCACAGCGGGATCTTGTAGTCTATGTGAAAACCCAAGTTATCAAACTACACTGTTCATGTTAGGCTGATTTTGAGCGTACCTAAAATGGCATACATGTACTTACCGTGCTATAATCATGGAGGACGAAGGTTTCCTGCTTTCCGCTCTCAGCTGCTACGTGAACGGCTTCCAGTTTCTGGGAGGCACTGATCTCTATCTCTTGCTGGAACTCTGAGCTGTCGTCTTTGAAGGTGACAAGGTAAGCCTTGAAGAGAAACGAAACTAAGTTTAAGACTTCTCTCTCTCTCTCTCTCTCTCTCTGCAACATTAATTCTGGTTACTCATTTTACCGCACTTGGGAGTTCAAATCGACGCGCCTACCATGTGGCGATCGATCCGAAACGTCTAGATAGGTACGAAACGCGCTCAGTAACTTAAAAACCATCCACATTTTAACCATTTTTGTTTAAATGTATTGAAGTGCATTTCTAGAAACTGAATAATAGTCATCCATATCTCACCTTCAACATGTCATTGCTCGCCTTCTGCGACATATGAGTGGCAAGCAAAACTCCGCCCACTGCCATGGCAACCACAATGACGAGCGTGACGGCGCCAATTGCGAATTTTTTCTTGTTGGAGGATTTACTCTCTCCTTGACGCGCCATTTCTTGAGGCTCGTTGAACATCTTGGTAGACAGTACGGTGTCCGGCTTCATAGCTATAGAGAAAAGACAACTAATATAAGGGTTCGATTTAGCAGTGCGAGGACATCACTATTAATAGAGGGAAACATGAATCTCTGCACTCAAAATAAATAAATATAGCTTAATACTTTGCCGTAATCCCAACTATACTCCTTTCGCTAAATATCTCCCAGCAAGTGTCCATAGGCAAAAAAAAGGTCATTATTAGAGTCGTACATGTCCAGCACAATACTAATGCAAATGTTTTCATGTCGAAAAAGATAGCAAATTCGAACCAGTTATCTGTTAGAAACATTCAAGCACGAACTTCTCATGAGAGCTTTAGTGCTAGTACCTCAAGTGTCCACTGCTGTGCGGTTATGGTCGGTCAATGTCCGATGTCCTTCCGAAACTGACCTCCAGGGACAAGCACGTCCCTTTTTATAGTGGACTGAGTCGTGCCGTTAGAGGAAGTACTTGTACATGTATGTCAACAAGCTACAAGGAAATGGGAGTAATGACATTTCCTACTCTAAACAGTCGTTGGTCTATGTTAAAGAAACCGCCACATATAATGTGATTTTTTTCCGCGATATGCATGATGCTCAAAGCTGTAAAGCCCCACTTTATCGTTTTTCAATCACCACCCCTTGATTAAAAAGGTTCTGGAGTAGGCTGATAGATTATTTAGCCTAGATTACCAAACGGATTGTTCTGAGACTAAGGCAAGTGTCTCAGTCAGAGTTTATGAACCAAACTTATTGTTTCTGTGCTAACATGTATTTTTTTCTTTCAAAATGTACGTATTGCAGGCCTACCCGTATCAGATTCCGAAGAGGGTGTAAATTGCTTATATTTCCTTATATTTCGGATACATGTTCTGATGTAATGGCATAAATGTCATAATATTTAGTTGGCGTTGCGTAGTATTCATTCTTAAAAGACAAATACCGAGGATATGAACACGATTAAGGGCGAATGAAAAAGGTGAAAATAACTTAGTGTCAACACCTTCATCCCGTGCAAGAGGGTATTAATGCAAATCACAAATCCATCAGTTTACGTGTGATCAGGCATTATGCAGCTGAAATGGAGAGAGGGGCTTCTACTTCCCCAATTATCAGAACACGAACACGGGCCATAATTGCTGTTCTTGTCGCGTGTCGGATCGAATCACCAAATCGCCGAATCGAAGGACACCCACATATTGAAATGACTGATGCTGACGCATGCGCGCTTAGGGCTATCACGATCAAAACTCCCGATGTCTATGCGTCGTTGTCTGTTTTTTTCTTCCTTGTTGTAGTATGCAGTTCTTTTTGTTTATGCAAAGAATGGAAGTTTGTGGCTGTGACCATGAATTTGGTAAAGTGTATCTTTTTGTCTGCTTTTGTCCTTAATGCTTTTTTTTTCAAGTTTTCACTGTTATTTATTGAATTATGTTTATTAATCATTCATTCATGTTTATATCTATTAATCCAACTGACCCTGAGACACATTTGTGCATTTTTTTCAGCTAAATGTGTATGATAGTGCATTCTTAATCTCCGCATTTCGGATCGCCTATCACCTTTCAGGGGCAGATCCAGGATTATTTGAAGGGGGGCGGATGCGAAGCCCGCCGAAGGTTCCCTAATTTTTTTTGGTATTTTAGAGGGCGAACAGTGCCATTTGGTACGGTTTAGAACTTTGATTCAGCTAGTCAAAAATCTAATTGGAAGAGGGGACCAGAAATCGGAGGGGGAGGGGGTCAGGACCCCCCTGACCCCATTCCCCTCTAAATCCGCCATTGTCTTTATATATACATGAAGTGGGTTACACTGCATGCCATTTTGCATCGCTTACATGCATGGTCGCTATCAGACATTTATTGTCATTTAACGGGTTCATATACAGGGTATGTCATATACATAACAAAAGCATCAAGGACCGTTTCCAAATTAATACAGTTATATTTGTCATTTCTATATATTTGATTTTTATTTTATAGATCTTTAGCATCTTCAACTTTTATCTAGCGTATCAATGTGATCGTACTCTAAAGCCACCCAGTCATGCCGTATCGTGTACGCAAGGGGGACAAAGTATATAATGTACGTATATTAACCTTCGCTCCCCCTAAAATAATGCCTGGATTAGCCTGTTGGAAAAAGATAGGAAGAAAGGAACGAGGAAAACGCGTGTGAAAATGGAGGATTACTAGACAATCAATTTATTTATTTATTTATTTATTTATTTATTTATTTATTTATTATCTCAACAAGCAGTGCATTTGTTTTATTTTCATTCATTTTATTTCGAATTCACTAACATAACACGCAATTCCCACCACTTCGACATGTTTTTGATAACAGTTGCCATTTTAAGCATGTGCATGTTCCAATTTCAGTATCTTACACTAATAAACATAAGCAAGGCAAGGACAAGATAAAATGTTTTTGACCTATCATGTCACTGCTGGATCAGCCGATTAAAATGCTGGCAGGCTTGGCCTGATACTTCGGATAGGCCTGTCCTGGGCAGACGCTGGTGGCGCCATTTGGTATTGTGGCCTCGATGGAGATGTACTCACAGCCCTGGGTAGAGCAGTAATTCCACCCATCTCTGTTATATTCCGTAGTGAGTTTAAGAAACAGCAGTCTTGAAAAAAAAAATGATAATGCCATTGAGAAAAATACCCGTATGTTGGATGGAGCATTGTGCTATAAAGGACAACAGTGGGGCTTTATTTTGAGGTACAAAGACCGTCCGTCTCTCTCTCTCTCTCTTTCTCTCTCTCTCTCTCTCTCACACACACACACACACACACACACAAGCAGACGGATACTTTTAACAAAGTTATAACAGCAATACTACTTCTGCTACTACTGATAAAAGCTACGCGACATTATTATTATTATTATTATTATTATTATTATCCCAAGTCCTCACCCCACTTGTCCATCCCAGAAATACACTCCACCGTTCCCGTTTTTCACCCCTGTCAACGAGTTGACAGAAGTTAGTGTCTTGATGGGTGTTCGCCGGTTCAGACGCTGGTATCGGATTTTGAAGGTGGTGCCAGCGGGATAACATAGTCCAACTATTATGTTGTCATTTCTGGAAGACAGAAAATATCCAGTACCAAAAGTGCGTTTTAAAATTGACTATTTAATGATTCAGTGTCGGAAATTGCGCTATAAATAAAGGTCCTACGTACATGTATCTGTCGGTATTTTGCCTATATACAAACAGAAGAATAAATGAATAAATACATTTTACTTCTTGACGTTAATGGGATGCAGCTGCACGTTAGCAGGCGAGGTGCCTCCCAAGATGATAGTAAAGGTAAAATAATAAACAAATAAATAAATAAATAAGTAAATAAATAAATAAATATTTTACTTGTTGAAGTTAATGGGGTGAAGCTGCACCCTAGCAGACGATTCCCCGTCCCAGTGGATGGTATAGATTAAATAAATAAATAAATAAACAAATATTTTACTTGTTGAAGTTAATGGGGGGGGGGGGGGGGCAGCTGTACGCTAGCAGGTGAGTTGCCGTTCCAGTGGACGGTATAGGTTAAATAAATAAATAAATAAATAAATAGATATATTACTTGTTGAAGTTAATGGGGGGCAGCTGTACGCTAGCAGCGAGGTGCCGTCCCAGTGGATGGTATAGGTTAAATAAATAAATAAATAAATAAAAGTTACTTGTTGAAGTTAATTGGGTGCAGCTGCACGCTAGCTGGTGAGGTGCCGTCCCAGTGGATGGTATAGGTCTGACCCAGTAGCATGGAAGGCTGATACTGGTTCCAAGGATCTCTGCTGGTTCTCTTGGGGCTTTCCAGTTGAAGCGGTTTGTCTGGGTGGTCGGTACGGGTCATACTCATGCGGAGTTGCTTGTTCTTTGCTTTAACCCACATCTGGAAATAACGGAAATGTTTAAAGTACTTCAATTAATTAATCAGCGTGAGAGATGTGAATAAATAAATAAATTAATAAATAAATAAATAAGAAATAGTGCATATGAAAATGTTTCTAAGAACTTCAATCCATTCGACAATATTGGAGATGTGAGTAGTGTTGTCGGTAGTCGGAGTTCTTATTATTTCAGTGATATATCAATTAAAAGATTTAGACAAAAGAAAGATTTAAATGTGACCATATTTACTGTATTTATTCCATGATTTCCGTGTACAGATGTAAAGCGCTGAGAAAAATAAAATCTTAAAAGCAATTAAGATAAAAAATGGAACATTAATCTTTTTAGATGTTTTGAGATGTAAAAGAGTAAAATATCAAAGGGCCCAGTGATGTAAAGTATGATGAAAAGTATGATTGTTTTAAACTTTATTCTGCCTGTGTCTTTACTCCCCTAATGTACCTCGATAATTTAATTCCAACTCACTTGTGCATAAGACCCTTTACAGATTGCGGCGTTCCACTCTGGCTTTTCGACACAGCCATCATGGCGGAGAAGATAGTTGTCTGCTCGAATGACAAAGGAGTCCTTGTACCCAGTAACGGAACCGTCCTCATCTTTGAAAATCTGAACTTTGTCGCCATCTTTGTCTGCCCTTTTAGAGTAAGATCCAGAAGGAATGCGGCCAAACCAAGCACGGCGACTCTGAAAATAAATGAATCAGACTTTTGACCACGACCCAATGTAAATGAATGTCAGGATTAATAATAATAATTATAATTCATTCAATACATTATTCGCATCAGATATAATCAAAAAGCATTGTAAATAAAACAACGATATTTATTTATTTGTCTATTATTTATTTCGGTACAATTCTATTTTAAATGACTGTTTTATCAAATAAAATATGTATGCGTTGGCTTAAATAGAGGAAAAGAGAGAGGAAATGACAATGCTAAGTTACAGAGATACTTATTTATAAATACTAAAGTCGGCACGTGGGACGGAAGTTGCACTGTAGGTGTCATATCGGTTACCGGTGTGTGGTGACAAGGCCACTCTCATTACTTATTAGATTGCCACACACGCTGCTGATAGTTTTATTGAGCGTCCATCGCGGGGCAGGCGGATTAAATAACAGATACTAATCGTTTGTCACAGGAGAACATGTGCTTACCACGTCATCAAATGACACATCGGTGAACCGGCTTGTGGTAGCTATCTGCCAGCCGTTGAGCAGGAAGAACCCAATGGCCGCCGTGGCTTTGTTGTATTGGCTTTTAAAACGCTTGAACTGACATCTTTCTACGGTGATAGGGCCGTCGTATACACCAACACCCCTCTTTGGATTTGTTCTGGAGATTATAATTAACTGTTTACATGTACATGTACTGGCAGTACATTATTGATAACTGTAGGTTCATGTAGATGTTTGATTCTTTGAATGTGTACATTATATGACGCAGTGGCATTTGAAGCTGTTTGCAATTTTCAACCACTTTAAATTTATCCAATTTTACCCCTAATGTTTTGCGATAACAAATAATGGACTTTCCACGTTTACTCCAAAAGTTTTTGTTTAATTTTCGTCGCCGTCCACTCATTTTTTAAAGAGTAAATCAACGTGTTTCAATTTGTGTGGTTGCGTGCATATATATATATATATATATATATATATATATATATATATATATATATATATATATATATATATATATATGGTTTTCCTTAAGTATTAGCACCCGGTAGTTGACTGATTCCTGTCCGACTCACGCAAGTTTCATAAAATCGGCACCAGCAATCTTTATTATTATTATTATTATTATTTTGATACATGTATTAGCCCTGCGGCATGTGTATGTAGATGTAAACAGCGTTCTATTCACCTGTCGCTGGGAAACATTCGCATCTTTCCATCAAAGCCAGCTGCCCAATTCCTGTTGCTTATTTTCAGGTTTTTGGACCCCCTGTTCTCGCTCTCGCCGACAAAGATGGTGTCTCTAATCGCCTGGTGGCTTCCTGGATCGAACGGGGTAACTCCTTCACTGTAAGTAATGTGAATGGCTTTGATTTATACCGACACGAGAAAAATACGTTCACTTCTACAGTATAGAGGAGACCGGGACTAGTTGGCCCAGTTAGACACTTTTGGCCTTGTAGAGCCAACAAGGAATGAGTAAGAGTAACAAAACCGGTTTCAAAGTAAGCCCCATGAACTAAGCTACGTATGCAACGTCATTATTTTTCAAATATAATGCCAGATGGCTCACAATTTGACAAAAAACGCAGTTGACGTCAGAGGGGGGGGGGGCAAGTTGGCCCCCTATACAAAAATGGAGTAAATATCCCACGTTAACGCCTTGTAATACATTTTTATACATTTTTAATTTATTAAATTGACTTTTGAGAGTCTTTGATGAATAAATAGTTCAAATGAGGCAGATTTACTGAGGTTTCCGTACGTCACGTTGTGGGGGGGGTATGTGTTGCAAGAAGCAGAATATCTATTGATAAATTTGTTTTATTTTAATAAAGAATTAATTACTAATGGTATAAAGCAGGTTTTTAATGAATGAATACGAATAATAAATTTTCGTTTTAAAAGAAAGTAACATATTCAGTTTTAAACCATTGAGTTTGTTTCAACAATGGTCTCTAGCTGTGTTGCGCGCAAAGGTTTGTGGGTAATATGAGGGTCCAACTTGCCCCGAGTCAAGGAGGCCAACTAGCCCCGGGTGCACACTTTTAATTTTAAAGGATGGCAGCCATTTATGGTGCTAGAATGAGCAACGATGATACGTCTCTGTGAAACTTGAAACAATGAGCTTCAGTTTGATGCCCTATACATATATTATATTCAATCAAAATCCTATGAAATAGATTTTTAAATCTCTTTAACAAAATTACTTTTAGGTGCAAAAATACTTAATTTGACTCACCGCTTAAGTAAAACTTTTTAACGTCCGACAATTCCTTAGCATTGTAGGCTACGGTCACTTTACAAGAGTATGTGGCCAATTTTTTTTACCTCGTAGTTACTTTGTCATAAATTGACGGGGGGGCCAACTTACCCCGGGGTCCAACTAGCCCCGGTCTCCCCTAATATCCACTACCAGAGTGTCTAAGTAAGGGGAAACTTTGTACTTAATGACGGGCCTGTTGACCGTTATTCTGTGAACGGTTTCAGATAGGGTATAACTAATTATTTTAACCCTGTTTCGACCAAAGATCCGTACACAAAAATATAAAGTAAAAAAAAATGTTTTTTAGGGAAACGATTACGAATATCTTGCAGACTACATCTTAATTTCCTTGAAAACTTACAAATCCATGTAGATATGCATGTAAAGAGAATAAATTAATAAAAGTTATAATACACAGCAGCCAGATTTGTGGTTTTGAGGATGATAGTACAATACCTTGCTAGAATAATGCCAGTAGTTACGTCCGCAAACCTGTTGAAAAGGCATAAAGAATCAGGGTTTTAATATATATTATTTTGTAGCACGTAACTTTCCCTTTGTGATAATGGGAAATAGCATCACATAATCTTGCTCAGTTTTAAATTCAAAAGTTCAGCAAGTGAGAATTACACTATTTTACATCTTATCGCTCCGCTTTTAGCATCAGAAACACATAAAAAACAGCCATGAAAAATTTGCTAATGTAGGGAGTTAACGCGTACTATACCATGGATATTTTCATTAATTTGATCAACAAAAATGAATAAATACATCAAAAATAAATAAATGGCAAACAATGATAACAGCAGGTAAACAAAGATGACAAAGTGAGCTAAAAATTTATATAAGAACCTTGAGTTTTGAATGATAATTTCACCTCCACGCGCCCATATGCCGTGGCCTGTTGTCTTGTACGCTGTGAAGCGGTCGATGATAGAAGGGGATCTTGGTTTATTTAGATTGGCATCCACGTGTGGAGCGTGCCTGAATACGTAAAAACAGAAGTAAATCTTTCAAGAAAATTTCCTGGCACCAGATTGTAGTACACGTACTTGCTGTGTTGTAATTAAACAGGCGTTAATGTGTTGTTGATAGTTGTTTAGATGAGGAATATCTATTTGAAATTGCTATTAGTTTTTACCCCCAAAACGCTATTGAACAGTTACATCATTAGGTCGAGTTAACAAATTCACCCCGATATATTTCTGATGCAACAGCATTATCTCATAACTTAACAATATTTATGTTTGCATTATCTAAGCGGATAAGGGAAAAAATCCTAACGTATCGATCCCCCTTAACTGGTCTTCCGAAATATAAGAGAGGTTTGCAAGGGTCTGTCTATTAGAATAATTTGTTTATACCTAGCGCCTGTCATGGACAGATACTCAGCAGGTGACCGTGACGTAGAAGGTGTGGTCTTAACCCCCTCGTCCAACATCAATGAGGCCTGCAACACGATTGAAAAAAAAATAAATTACAATATCATTAATATACATAGTACACATTTTGCGTTTTGGAAAATTGAAACTACGTTCCAAAACAAACTCAGTTGCGATTCATTCCAATTACAATGGCTTGTCGTGAAGTTCCTTTAAGGCATAGACAGATTTGATAAAACTGACTCATGAATTACCGAAAACATTTGACCTTGAATTTCACCCTTTTGCTACTTTAGTTTTTTTTAACTGTGTTGAATATTAAATTACTTCAATATTGGATTCAAATTACTTCGGAGGCACTCCCTCCCCCCCTCCAAAAAAAAAAAAAAAAAAAAAAAAAAAAAAAAAAAAAAAAAAAAAAAAATGGACATGCATAAAGCACAAAGCAAGAAAACCAAGGATATAAGAACATTTTCCGCCTCTGGTCCAAACGAAGTATGGTTAAAATCTGAAGCTACCGGTATCAATACATTTCAAGAATTTAGGTCACAGTCATACATACTTTTCCCATGTTAGAATGGGCCCTGTTGTTATAAAATTTCCCAATTGGCGTTCTTTCTCCGTGACGCAGTGGTAGAGTTCCCTTGGAGGCCCCTGTGGGTTCTTTGTGGAACGCAAACCAGTAGCCGACGCCCTGGAATTGATGGGTGCCTTTAAAAATTATTGAAGCGGTTGACATTAAAGTTTTAACAGGAATAGTTCATCTGTTGTTATGCTTTAGTATATAGCGCTATCTTTTGTGTGCATTTTTTTCAGATAGAGTGTATTTCATGTCTGTTATCATTTTAGTTTTAACGTGCAGATAATAACAAAAGAATATATGCGTGTGCAACGTTTCATAAAAAAAATTCTATCAAAGCGAGAGAAATTACCCTTGCAATTCTGCAAACACTACGCATTGCGCAAAATGATCTTATTTTAACATTGGGTTTCCTTTTTCATCTGATCATCTGTTGTTAACTCATTGTAATATAGTTTTCATTTTCATAATAAAATTGAGAACGATTGTCCTGGTTTTAACTCACCGCTGAGCCTCCAGCCGCGTTGTTGATAAAGGTGTTGTTTGGGTGTGCTATCCAGAAGGTGGTCACTGCGCTGTAACAGCCAAGTGAATTACATGCATAGCTATTGGCATTTGATTAATACATTTTATGGACTAACCCCCCCCCCTCCCCAAACCTAGACGAATATACAGCTATTAAAGTTGATATTTAAAACGAAAATAGGTTAAGCTTAAAGTTGGTTTATCACAAAATATTCAAAATATTCTCAGTACTCGTCTAGAACCGACATTCCAAGAGGCACGCGCGTACACACACGCATACACACGCACTCGCACACACACGAGAGAGAGGCTGTGCTTGTCAAGTAGGAAAAAGAATTGAATACCGACCGACATTCGCCACGTACTTGCAATCAGTTTTCGAAGGCGTATATCCAGCGATAACGTTCTCTCTTATGGTGGTGCACATTTTGGTGTCTCTCTCAGAAGGGAGAATGGTGCCGGGGTTAGTAAGCAGACCCAGGTTATGGTCCAGAGTGTTCCTCTGCTCATTGCCGTCCTCCAGGAAGAAGCAATGACCGAGTGTGCTGTAGCCAACGACATTCTGGACCTGTGAAATATATATGATATTCCGGTGGAAAAAATGTGAAATTTTCTGAATGAAAAAGCTAAGGGCAACAGCTAATGATATCGGAGTAAAATGATAATTGATCAATTAAAATGGATTTGAAATACTGAAGTGATTTTCCTTCAGTCAACGGCTTAAAACTGAAATAGTTACCTCCAATATGTCGATGTCTAACAGAACATCTTCATCAGGGAATATTGGAAATATTGGAGGTAATTATTTCAATATCAAGCTGTTGATTGAAGAAAAATTACTTCACTCTTATAACATAACTCAGCTAATGCAATTCTTCTTCTCTGACTTACATACTAACGTGGGTTTGCCTTTAAAATCATGTGCAGGTGTTCGTCGCGAAAGTAAATGTCAGATAGACAGACATGCAAACAGACAGTTGAGACACTAAACTGACACTGTCAAATAATCTGTCTCACCAAGAGTCCGTGAGTAGCGTGAATGGTGACACAGCGACTGAAGGACTTGTGGATGGACAGGTCTTTCACCCACGTAGGGTTTTTGTAGCCACCATGTTCGTCCACGTCACCACACATGTGGAAATGAACAGGGTATCTTCCGATGATTTGTTGACCCATATTGAATAACTCCACCCCGGAAAGATGGACAGATTTGAAGCCTTTTAGAATCTAAAAAAGCAGGAAAACAACAAGAAAATCGAGACAGCGAACGTGCCAGATTGTATTAGCATCAATGATGCATCTACGTTTTCCTTTTTTCTTTATGGCTGGAAATTCAGTGATGCTCTTTGTGGCTTGAAAATTACCAAAACTGTGTGGTTTCATTTGAATCTTTATACGATAATGATAATAATAATAATAATAAAGAGAAGAATAACAAAAAAAAAAAAAAATAATAAAAGAATAAACCATTTACATATAATAATAAGCTAACCCGAAAGGGAATCAAAATTACATAAAATACTAAAGCACATATTTTTAAGCCGAGTAATTACCGGTAAATCACGCAAGGAAACAGGCAATATGTTCCAATGATAGACATAAAAACTTACCTGCATATGCCCACCGAACGTGTCATGATCGAAGAACTGGCAACGATTGTTTCCGTAGCATTTCGACTCCATTTCCCCCTTGATCAAGATATTCCTGCTGAGTATTCCGACCTCAGCGCGCATGTCAACACCATAGGACGAACCGCCGAAATGGAGAAAATTCACCTTACCTGAAACAAAGCATTTAAATCTATTTTTTTTCTCCGACAACAATGACTATTGTGAATTGCAGATATTCAATGTCTTATAGTGAATGTGCGGGCACCGACCGCCGGTTCAGTGGCGTATTTTTATACAATTAAGCATCACGTTCTTACTGTTTATATGTAAGACAAGCACGTGCACTAATAATAAACAGATGAGAGAAACGCCGTTTCATCATGAAGAATCGTGGGAACGTGGTCACCATTAAAAATAATAAGTTGGGCATTATTTTTTTAAAATAAGATCTTACCCAAAATCTTAATTTGAAAACGACTACAGCTTTCACATTTTCCAATCACAAATTCCTCCGTCTGATACATGGAGACATCAGTGCTGCTGATGACGACGCGATCTCCTTCCCTCCAACTGCTGACGTCATCCGCCAAGGTGATCACGTGTCCATCCGCTTGGGTCCCAAGTTCAAATGCCGCACTGGCCCATTTTGTTGCCGCTACAAAATAAGTGGTAATACATTTTTAACTTTTGTCAACGAAGAACTACATGTATATACAGCCCGGCGGAAAATTTCCTTGCCTAAGATTTCTATCCCGCATCTACATGTACTAAGGATAGTATATTTGCGTTCAATATTAAATAAAACCACAGCCCGGCTTTAGTATGTTTTAGAAAAAATACAGTATGGCATTTCTTTGGGGTATCTAATTAAGGAAGAAAACTAGATGTGAATCCGGTCATAAAAGGTCACTAACCACTCCATCCGCTTTTCACGGAGACCCGAAATTGACCATTTGTATTTGTGAACGTCTTCTCAGCTGTTGCGTAGTGTGTCGTTGTTGGGTCTGGAGAAGAAAAACACATCGAACATATCTATATAAACTTTATGGATAAGATCATTTACCGCCTCATTCCCCCAAAAGAATGAATTTATTCATTTGTTAGACACTGTTACATTGGATGCTGAGTTGAGCTGCTGCCTGAAAAAACTACTGACGTAACTAAGAATGTGTAACAGAGCAGAAATGATTATGAATAATATCGAATCTAGCGAAGCCTTGTAAAATATATGTCTTTGATGTGAAACGACTTGCCGTTGTTTTTTTTTCCTCCATAACAGAAATTAGGGCAGAATCAAATAATATTGTAATATTTTAACATTGTCTTTGCTAGGAAGGATATAACGCCTTTAAATTTTGATAATTCCCTGTTGAAAATGTGATAAAAAATAATATGCCTGCATCACGTCAGACAAGAAATCATCAAAGCGCACTTACTAATGTATTTCACTCTTTCCTCGACAGTCTCCGATGGTGACCCTTTAACAGCAATGAACGCCCAGGGCTCCCTTAAATAATAAAAACAGATATGTCAGCAAATCATTGCCCGTCATATTTTGATTATTGCGCCATAAGAATATTTGTTTTGCTCTCACTCATGAAGCTTTTAAATTACAAGTGTCAACCGGCCATAGTCTTGTTAGCCATGCTGTCATTGAGTCGCCATTATATTCCATTTCGTATTCCAGGACTTCTGCAGCAGCGTGAGGCAAATTAATGACGTTTGTAGTTAGGCGTTGTGGTTTCGAGCCAAAACATTAACACACATGAAGAGTTACCCATTCTGTACCAGGTACTGTAATCGTACCACCTCGCTTCCCGCCAAACTGCTTTAGATTGGCGCTCGTCATAACTCGGAACCGCGAAGTGCCAACTTGCGGTGATAAGGAAAACCAAAGCATAATGGCAGCGTCAAAAGTACTAGGATGCCATTCTTCACTATTTGAACATTGTAAAATTTTGTGACTTAATACTTTTTCCAACACCGTACACGGTTTTAGCATTTGTTCTATGAAACTATCAAAGTAGAAATGTACGTAAAAGAGAACAATCTGAAAGAAACATGCCATAAACTTATATACCGTACAGTGTATATATACCCTTGTACAATATACATCAACATTGTAAATATGCATTAGATTAAACCCCTGAAAGCTTTGGAAGAACATGTACTACCTAAGACATCACTAATTTACCTGTGACGAAGGCTCCCAGCCTCTTTGCTCCCCATTTTGCTGAGAAAGTTCCTGGCATCCTTGTTTAGTTTTGATGACGGTTCATCATATGCTGCCATTGCGATTATGGCGCCATCTGTGTTTGAAATCAGAGATATTTTATATAGACCGGTACGAGGCCGCTCATGTGTAGACTGAGGCAATGATTGTAGTTTCCGTTAGAGTTCACGATATGACTTTTAAAGCCACCCCGCCATAATAATAATAATAATAATAATAATAATAATAATAATAATAATTCTATTTCAAAAATATTCTGGGATGGGGTGTCTTGCCGTTTATAATTCCTGTGTATGAAAAGGGTTTCAAGCTTATTTTTTATCAGTTACTGAATCCAAAGGAATGAAAACAAAATATAAAAAGACAATGCCCAGAAGTTTAAAAAATGAAACCACAGAAAAGCCATTGAATATTATCATAACACACAAGTTAGCGAAGTGCTTGTGATAATATGACCATGAACTTTTTTGTTTTTATATCCCTCTCTCTGTGCTGGAGCTCGTTATTACAATACAGCTACAAATCTGCAGTAATCTACCCAAGAACAAGGTGTAAAATAGTTCCTTACTTTTCTGTTTATTAATAAAGTCAATCAGTCCCTGCGATGCTGTGCTGTCGCCGTGCGTGTCAAATGATTGTTTCGCCGTCACACGGCCAGTCTGCCGGTCTATCACACGTAAGTTTAAGCCTCGTCTCATCGAGGTGTCGGTTTCAGCCCCTTCCGCCAGTGAACCTAAAACACAAGAGACTATCACTTTACAAATTATGCTAAATGCTTCCGTCGTTATCGTTTTGTATTTTTTATGAAATGAATCCCATTGTCACCGACAGACCTTAGATCTTCAAAAAGTAATGCAAATATGTTTGCATTTCAGTTGGTTAATAATAATAATAATAATAGTAATAATAATGATGTATATTCATCGAACTGAATATACTAAAATGTGTAATTAGCCTACTCTATCAAGTAAAGACTACACTACTGTTTACAAACAACGTAGTCCATTACAAATTTACCCATTGTGCGGGATTTAGTACTTAAAATCCTCCGTACAACTTACCGGTCAGGTGTCCTTCCAAAAAGGTCCAGGCGGTCTTTGCCTTGCCATGGATTTCCAAGGTGCCACCTTTAGTGACGCCGATAAACTTCTTGCCAAAGTCTGGATCCTCGTCGCCATCGGTTGACTTGCCTATAAGGACGATGGTCACTTTCCCCTGATACCTATGTAAAATATATTTAGAATAAATATATATGCAAAGACTAGGTAAAATTGAAAAAGAAATGCTGGGCAGTTTCAGAAGCTCGATAGATAAGCATGCTGGTGCAAAGAATGTTGCGGTATTTATCAATTTAAAATATATAATAATCTTAACCTGTTGGCGTGGTTATAATTATTTCAATAAAGACGATGGCCTGAAGGTACATTCAAACCTTGCCTGCAATCAGTACTACCAATGTGTAACTCTCCGCCATTTTCAACACGAATGTGTTTAGTCTTCACCACGATCGGTGCCACCCCGTCTTTGAAAACCAGCTTTCCTGCAAAAAGCAGTGCTTGTATACATGTAAGTATAAAGTTGTGGCGATTTCTCATTGGAACAGCACAATAATACATTGCGAGACATCTTCAGTTAAAGCGACAATGTTGATGATTGGACGTTCTGCGAGGAAACAATCTGTCTAGGATGATAATTGTATTTTATGTAGTAATAATTATATATAAAGGGGTCTAATAGCTGAAACTTAAAATAGTGCCAAATGGAAAAAGATATAATCAATTGTAGCGAAGCGTGCTGACACGCTTAATTCTTTTTTCCCGAATACTAGAACAAGTACTGTGCGTTGTCTATCTAGATAATTTCAATAGTTTAACTCCACATAACTTACACCCACCCTGAATGGTGATGCTGTTCACTGTCGTCGACCTGTCCAACAGGTAAAGTTTGCCCCTGGGAATCGTGACATCAGCGCCTGGGTTGTTTCCGGGTCTCCATAATTGAAGATTTGACGCCTTGTCTGGACATATGGCGTCGGCCGTCAGCACTGGATCAGAATATGAATATTAATATATACTGGGTTCCCATAAACCTATTGTATTGGCAGGATCAATCAAACTCCGATGGGACTTCCGTTAAATTATCTTTGTGCTCCAACACAAAGCTGCTTTTTCAAATTCTTACATTTGAACTACATGTAACTGTTTGCTTGCATTGACCCGTTAGATTAATTTTAATTAAAATTTAATTAAAATTTATGAGCCCATGGTTCATACAAGACGTAACATTTTGTACTATGGTTTTATCAATCATAATATATTGATTGTTGTTGATTCATTAGCACAACCATTAGAAATTAAATTTTAATTAAATTAAAAAGCCCAAATAGAAGTGCGCCTCTTTCTCAGTATACATTAGGTATGCATCTAAAGTACGCATACTGCCTTTGGTTTCGTTTCTGTTCTTGAATTTTGGTAGAAAGCATAGGCACCCCTGGCAAATGCGTGGGTATACTTGACATGAACGTAGAAGACAACCAGATTCAGGACACAAACTAGTATAGCACTGTCATGATTTTTCACAGGACGGTTGGCTTATCCGCTGACCCCTGTCTACCTTTACATGTAGGTTTCAGGTTTATCTAAATTTTTTATTCAGAAGCATCTGGTAGCAGCGGTACTGGCGGCATCAGTAAGTCGAGTGTAACCTCAGCGTTACCTCTGAATGTTATATCTTTTTACTGCATTTTTACAGCGGTGACCTTAACATTTTGATGATACTTTTCTCTAAAAATCTCATGCCATAATTTTGGTTTTGATGACACTGCTAGTCCCATTTCAAGATCGCGCGGTTCGTGCACTATAACAAATATTGATGTTCCGGTGCAACAGCGCATTATCTTAATTCATCAATGGCAAATTCACGCAAAAAGTAAGGACAAAATAAATTGATAATGCAAAAACAAACAACTTCAGAAGCGAATAAAACATAGGCAAAATAAATGAAAAGATAGAGAGATAGATAAATATAGAACATGTATGATGTTGTAAATAACTGTCAGTATATTGAAGGATCTACCTACTCGACCAAGCAAGGAAACACAGGATCCCGTGCAACATCACCATTTTAGCCAAACTTCTCCTGCGGACTGTCCTTTCCTTGTGTTTTTGTTCTCATAAGCAGCGCGATATTAATGTCATTTCCACAGGTGTTACATTCTCAGATGTATAGATAACACATATACTTAAATAGATTCCACGTGTATATTATTAGTCCTACAGTCATAGATAGATTTCAAAATATTATTATTATTATTATTATTATTCAAAAAGCTTTATAAACATAGAAAATAAATAAGCATATTTGAAAAAATCTTTTCTGTGACAAAGGTTATCTGAAATTTATGGTCGACTAAGATAGTTGAAGGTCCTCAGTGGGTCATGCACTGTACCTCCTAATACGCATGAGGGGTGGGTGGCCTATAGAAATTCCAGTGATCCTACAACCCCTGTTTTTTATTGCAAATCAATGAAAAAACACTTGCATGTCTTAGGGCTCATGAAACTGACTGCATTTAGCGAGAATCCCTTGGAGTTGGATCGATCTGCGTAGACCGAAAGTGCCAATGGGAATGTTCCCTTATAGTGGATAAGAAACCGCATCTTTTAATGTCTTGCTTCTATGCATTTCATCAGCTGGTGTCTTGAACAAAATGTGATTTTTTTAGAGTTCATCCGATTGTTAAAGAGACGTAAAAATTGTGCAAATCGGCAAAATGGTACGTGACTGTCGTGTCAGTTAAAGTGGAAACCGAACAAGTGTGGTGCTATGAAAATAGACAAAAATATGTAGGGTTTTAGAAGATATTTATTTGCATGCGGTCCGAGTTAAAACTTGTCAAAGTGTTGCAGGAAATGACTTGCTAATCAAGTTTCTGGAGCAGCATGCTTTAATAATACAGTCCGTACCGCAGCACTTAAAGCTTAGCGTTCAGAGAAAATTAAACACCCTGGAGATTTCATACAAAAGTAATTTCAACGGAGCCCTCAGGCCCGAAAAAAAACACATTAATACATCAAAACGCAGGAATCTAACTTGAGGAGGGCGAGGAATAAAAACCCGAAGCATAATCACATATTTTGACAGGTCTCAATTAATAAATAAAACGTGCCGATACAGACTGTTCCGCTAAAGTATACCGTGTGCCATGCTCGCATTTAATGGCAAATGGAGGTGCTCATCGACGTGCACGTATTTTCAGGCGTCGTCCCCTCAATTACCCAGCAAGTGGTTCTGCCGCTCATGTTTTCCATTTCCCAGCGGGCAATATGCAAATGGGTCCCGGAAGAGCATGACCTCTGACCTGGCGCGTGGTACATGACAAAGTATTCATTGTCCATGATACCTCCACTTTTGAGACGGTCCCACACTGTTTTGGTATCGATGCCACTTACGGTTATGTCCGCGGCTTGACCAACGGAGTGCTGAAAATGAACAAAAGGAGAGAAAACAATAAACTAGCCACTGCCCTGATTAATAATAATAATAATAATAATAATAATACTAATAATAATTGTAATTATAATATGCGTATTTACAGAATATGGAATACGAAAAAAAAAACATTTCTGAGACAAGCTGGGAATAGACCCCTTATATTAAGAAACGTAATACAGTCTAATCAATAAAAAATAATCCCTCAAAAACGAAAACAAAGCGTTTATTTATTATTTTTTAGGCTGACGAAGAAACCTCACACGGTAAGCGAAGGGCACGATATTACACTTACATAGTAATCCGCACCCTGACGCACTCCGCTGTGTACGACAACAGTTGCCCCTAAGAAGTTTGCTATGTCCTGCAGGGTGATTTTTAGTGCCTGGCTATTGACTACCGATCTGCCGTAGCTGACTTCTCCTCTTTGGACTGTAGATAAAGATATATTGGAATGTATGTATAGTAGTAAAATTGTGTTTTTTATGGTTTCTAGATAGGATGGTAAAAAAGGTTTTTCTTTACTTACAGACTAAGAACCATAGGTCAAACTTGACGTTTTTGGACCTTGGTCACCATCTATGGACCTTGGTCACCATCTATGGTCAAGTGAATGGACAAGGTCTCTTCATGGTGGACCGAACAGTTGTGTCTGATTTTTGTTTCTTAGTATTAAAGTAAAGCTATTAAGTTAAAATTTAATATGATTATCTTAATAGGCCTATCATTCAATTATTTTGATATCAACCTTTATCCGTTATCAGCAACAACCCCTTCATCAATACCTTTTTTTTTTTTTTTTTTTTTTTTTTTTTTTTTGTGGGGGTGGGGAGTTTCGATATGAAACAAATACATAGCAGCAACTTTGTTAAGTCTGTGCAATTCGCAAGAAGACGGTTTGAGAGGCTCCTCACTTCTCTTTTCAAAAACAGACACAATCTTACCTCGACAACCCTCCGGCTTCGTAAAGGCAACCCAGTTGGCTCCGTGGGCCAGTGTACGCACATTAGCATGCAACCAACACACGCGCTTAGTTGTGTGGTAGGTAGCGGCGGGACATTTGGCGTCATTTTGGCATGTTGTACGACATTGCTCTTCCGTCATACTGTAAATTGTCCGGGTATCTGGCCCTAGGACGTAATATCTCCCTGGGGTTCGCTCCATCTGACATCTCTCTGCAAAGTAGAATGGGTTGTCATAGATCCGCGGTTCAAATATAGCAGACCCACACAATAGTAAAGCCGACTAATCCCCTAACGGTCTCCTTGCATCCACATGCGCCTTTAAACGGATTCAAACAAGGCTCCGAAGTTTAATTGCTAGAACCCCGCAGGAACAGTGTATGTGGAGGCGGGGGCACCATCAGAGGATTTGTCGGCTATGCTTTTATGTGGGTCGCCCATATTTGATCTGCGGATCTATAAGTCTGCAGATCAACTTGCTCAGAGTGCCCTCCATGATTAAAGGTTACATAAAATATCATAAAACGTATATGATAATTATCAGACACAAGCCAAAACAATTTCATACCGTACTGATGTGAGTAGATGTTTTTACTCACTGACCGCTTGATCCACGTTTGCCATAAGCTAACGGTATGAAAGCGTTTTAGTTTGTGTTTGATAATTATCACATATGCTCCAACTACCAACCTAATGAACATTTTCATCATCATAAAATGTGTTCAAATTACGGAGAATGTAATGGAAACCATCTCTTTTCCAATGATAATGATACATTTGTACCCTCTGTGTGATACAATTGATGTTCAACAAAAATGTTTTAACTTAAAAGTTTACAAATCTATTTAAAATCGAAGAGGAGGGTGTTAAAGTATTTTTGACTCTGATATTGGTATTAACAATCATTATGTATACATGATATTTATTTTATTTGGATGGTTTGTTTTAATTACCAGACAAGACCATGCCACGCGTTTGTAATATAATATATGATGTTTGATGGACTGAAGTTTAGTGCACATACCGTATATGCATTTGTGTTAGCAAAAACTGAAATATAATGCGGTCTTTCACAATATTAAAATGTGATAGTTAAACTTTTGAAAAGTAAGAAAATAAGAATGATGGGCTTTTAGAGAGGTGGAGGTTGAAAAATCTCACCTTGACATCTTTCCGGTTTCATAAAGGCAACCCAGTTGGCTCCGTGGGCCAACGTACGCACATTAGCATGCAACCAACACACGCGCTTAGTTGTGTGGTAGGTAGCGGCAGGACATTTGGCGTCATTTTGGCATGTTGTACGACATTGCTCTTCCGTCATACTGTAAATTGTCCTGGTATCTGGCCCTAGAACGTAATATCTTCCTGGGCGTCGCTCCATCGGGCAATTCTCTGTAAAATAGCATATTTAATGGGCTGTATACAGGTATCTTGAAACTTTGCAATATTAGTTTCAGGAATACTGTGTTTTATAGTCAGTTCTTTCCTAGCACCTTTTTTTTACACTGGGGCTGATTTATGAAAGGAGTGTGTTTTGACTCTTATTTGGCATAGATTTCTGATGGCTCGTCGGTTTTGCAAGGTGTGCAACACGTTGATAGCTAAGCGACGCTTTAAAAAAAGCGAAAGGCGCAAAACAGTCTAAACAAGAACTGCAATGGATTTCAGTGGGCCGTGTCACGTACAGCTGAATGTAGAAATCGAGTGGGATCATGGGATGATTATGTACAGTAATACAGGTACGTACCTGTTGGTCTCATATTAAGCTGATAATGATCAAATTCTTTAAAGTCATCAAAACCAATTTTTGTTCTAATGCATTATAATTTACGCTTTAGTCGCTTATTTTCAAGAACAAAATACCTACGTCCATACACATAGTTAGCTCCAAGACCAAAGACCAGGAAAACCAATATCTTAACTCTCATGGCGACGCTTCTTCAATGTTTGCAAATTGAAGAACGATGCCTGTGCGGTTGTCCGGAGTTTTATACATAATATTGGGCAATCGCGATTGGCATTATAGGCAATAAGTACGGAAATTAATCAATACGTCCAAAGGCCTTCCAAATGTAAAATGTTTGCCAAACTGGAGTTCGAGTGAGTTTGAAGGGATGTACTATTTTGCCAAATGGCCTTTGTAACTGGTATTATGAGGTGTATATGTAACAATGCACCCATTATCACTGTTTATTTGGATTCTTGGTGTGAAAACCGCTTAAAACGAACAACTAATAAGCTATGTAATCACACTTACATTTTATGATAAGATAATATACAATAATTCAGTGCCTTGATATTTTAGTATAATGCATTTTATGATGGAAATTGATTAAATAATATTTCTTAATTGGTTGCTCTGGTAGAGAGTGCCGCATTTAGAGCACGCTGCACCTGTTTTTTTTTTTTTCATGTTCTTAACGTTGTACAAAGTTGTTCAAAGTCCAAACATGATTCTAACGTTTCTGTTGGAAGGTATTTCATAGTTAGCTTTGAGTGCTCTTGCTTCCTAATGCAAGAACCAAGAGTCAATATTAAAGTCAGACGGTGTTTGAAAAAAGCAGACCACTGTGGAAATGAGCCAAAATGTTCATTAGCTTGGTAGTTGGATCATAAATGGAAATCATTGAACCCAATTAAGTAAAAAAAAAACAAACTTTCGTACCGGACGTAGGCCTTCATCAGACTGATGTGAGCAGATTTTGACACTCACTGACCTACAGGTGGTATAGCGGCCAGGACCTTCTTATAAATGTCAAGTAGATTGCCCCCCCCCCCCCCCCCCCAAACACACACGCGCACCGTCCCTATTCATTGCTGCTCACATCAGTCTGGTGAAGTCCTACGTCCAAATTGGCCGCAAGCTAACGGTACGAAAGTTTTCGGCTTGTGTTTGATAATTTTCATTTATCAATCTGAAAATACTTAGCATATTTTCGTTTTTATTAATATAATCATGGACTTATATTTAAAATGAAGTTAATTACAACAGTGAGTCAAGTAGGTGCGTGGCTGGGGGTGGGGGTGCACAACAGACATGCACCTCCTTTACATACCCCGGTAGCCTTGTAGGTACCAGTACTCTCTTATGCACTTTACCCTCCATTAGCAGTATGACAAATGAGACCAGACAATATAAACACGTCAATTGTCCAAACAAACAAAAAATCAGATCATCTTGGCACATGTACGAAGCCCTCACAGACTTCTTTTAACAAATTAGATGGACACTTGAGTTTATTGTAGCTAATACGCCACATGTTTTTGGGAACAATGCATATCAAAGACAAAATAACACTTCACTATGCAATAATTAAGTAATATAAGGTATCAATATGTAATTCTTAATCTACACAAAAATTGACCGTGCAATTGGCTGGTTACACATTTTGTTTTACGTTGAGTGCAGCACATGCACCCATAAAATATAACTTATATATCTATCCTTGTAGCAATACACATATTGCGATAGAGGGGAGTATAGATAAGGGCGCTGTTAAAATATACCCATTGCGATAACGTTAACGAGGAAAAAGTTTAAAACGCAATAAAACCCAGTTATGGCGCAATTTAGTGCAGAGGGTCCCATTGGGGGCTAAACAACAAAATGACCATCAATATTTAACATTAAAATAAAAGTATCATGGATATTCAGAAAACTTGACTAGCAAAAGTCTTCAAGCCCATGGAGGTTCAAAGTCACACCTTGAAAATGCCAATATGTGAAAAATTAATTTTTTGCAAAAACCTGTATTTTATTACAAAATACACAAGAACAGGATTGCCATCATATTTAAAAAATCAACTAACAATATTGTTAAGATGCAGAAAATATCAAAAGAACACTTTTACATGTTCAGTTAGTTCAATAATGAGACTGTTAACATAGCTAAGAATTAAATCTGAGGAAAAAGCACCTATATACAAAAAAGGTGTAACTTCATCAAAACTAAACCGATAAAGCTAATTTTCAAACTTGATCTGTATTTTAGCAGCAGGTGACGGCTATATGTACAGACACATCTGTGTCTGTACATAAAAACGGCTGTTAAAGGAATGTTTTAACCACCTTGCGTGCGAACGACACAGGTGTTTTATGATATATGATAATGTAAAACGCTACAAATAAAACAACTCATTTTCATTTCAACTGAGATTAGAATGCTGGCAAAAGGAATCCGTCGGATTAAAATGGCAAGCCATAGGAGAGTGAAGAGTATGTTTTTCAACATCTCTCTCTTTATATTTTGCTGGGCCGTTGTCAGATTCCTCATTGGATACTATGGTACGTCCGTGCAAAGGAAAGATAATTTGTCCATCAGTGGGCAAAGAAAGCAGACCGGTTCTCTTACTCATAACGAAGCCTTTCCAGTTAAGGAAAAGTCCATTCTGTTTTGGAACAACAAATATTATTTCTACGATCCAGCTAAGGGAAATCCTTTTCGGTGGTGTCATGTAAATGCTTGCTCTTTGACTACGGATCGAAGCCAGTCAAAAAACGCTGATGCTATTATATTTAACATTGCCGATCAAGCGCTTCGCAGTGAATGTCAGGGAGTGGAGCCGAAATGTGAAATTCCAAATGTGAAACCTAGCCACCAGGTTTGGGTATTTTTCTCCAGAGAGCCACCTTGTCAAACAAATATATTCAGCCATTCGAATAAAGAGATGCTTCTTAATTCGTTTAACTGGACGTTTACTTTCAGAATGGATTCAGATATATGGTCGCCTTATGGGATGATTGTAAGACGCGATATTCCTTTGAAACGAAACTACTCTGCTAGTGTTAAATCGAAAACTAAGCTTGCCGCATGGGTTGTGAGTGATTGCGTCACTTGGAGTAGGAGAGAGGAGTACGTTGCAGAGCTGATGAAGTATATTGATGTCGATATTCTAGGCGATTGTGGAAGACCGTGTCCATCTTGCTGGAGTTACGTGAACGCTACCTACAAATTCTATCTGGCCTTTGAAAACAGTTTTGCAGTGGACTACCTGACCGAGAAATTTTTCAGACCGTGGCACTTGGATGTTGTACTAGTAACGAGAAGCGGTGCCAATTACTCACGGTTTGGCATAAGACCAGAAATGCATATTGACACCTCAAAATTCTCGTCACCTAAAGAGCTGGCGGATTATCTTCTTTTATTAGATAAGAACGATTCCCTGTATCTTCCGTATTTAGAGTGGAAAAACACCCACACATCAACCAGGCCATTGGAAACTCGCTACATGAATTGGTGCGGTTTATGTGAAAAGCTGCACGAAGAGCCAAAAACGTCAAAAGTTTATACCAAACGCGAGCTTCTTGAGTGGCAGTATGGAAATGGAGACATCAGAGGCTGTTACCACGCAAAAGACATAGTTGGCCCGGGAAAAAACTGCACCAAGATTAATAAAAATACATGTGTTTGAACTTGAAATTATGAAAATACGAGCCTAGTTTTTGCTGTCTTTTTGGCCTGATCGATGATGTCGTTGTAAAATATTGTGTTATCATTTCATCTTTAACAACTGCGTCTTCCATATGTGGCTGCAGCTGGACAAAATTAAAGCACCCTGGTATTTACAGTTACCTAAAAGACAAGTGTTATGTCCATTGCGAGGTGCAAAATCATGTTGAAAATTCATTGGATAGTCTCAGGTATACTGTAAAACCCATGGTGAGACAAACACACACACCACCCACACAAACACACACACCACCCACACACACACCACCCACACAAACACACACACCACCCACACAAACACACACACAATCTCTCTCTCTCTCTCTCTCTCTATCTCTCTCTCTCTCTCGACACACACACATACTCACACACACACACACACACACGCAAACTTTCACACACTCATTCTCGCTGTCTCTCTCTCTCTCTCTCTCTCTCTCTCTCTCATACACACACACACTACAAACTGGCGTCAATAAATTGCTACAGGTAATGAATAATGGACTGATCGTGCAGAGCGAGAAAGATCTTAGTAACATTGCAAGAGATAGAAATTAAGGTGTGAGCATGCATATGCTATGACACAAAGGGAAGATTTTATTTTAGATGGAAATCCAGAGCTGTGAATAATATTGGGATATATATATATATAGTTAGCAAGGAGGATCCTTTATATTATCCAGGTGATAGGAAGTCTTCTTAACCAACTAAATATTGCCAATTGCTGTTGAAGTTTTAACTCTTTGGAGCATATTTGTAGACGAAATCGAGTCAACACGTGTACTTTTTCAACCCTATCAGTGCTAATCAAAGAAACCGAAGAGGCTAACACGCACTATCATCTAGCCCTGTTGCTGGTTTTATCTTTTTTGTGGGGGTAAACTTTTAAATAAACACACTGTGTAGATTGTGTATTGGGTCTTATTTTACAGCTTTTAGATCTTTAACTGGACTGGCAAGTGAAAATTTGCCTTGTTGACGATTCCTATTAAGTAACTCTATTTTCGAGTAAAAATGTTTGACGCCCCCTCGTCGATATTTAAATTGGATTAATAAACTTGATTTTTTTTAACAGCAGCACTGTATCACAATCCATGGAAAAAGGAGGCTTTCATTTCATTTTCCATTATTTGAAACACTATCTTTAACGAATAACTAATACTACAGCATCACTTTAATTTTCCACAAGTTGCCGCCAGTATCTGTCAAAAAGTTCTTCGTTAGGACTTCACTTTTTGATAGCTTTTCCTTGGGCACTATGCCGCCGTTGCCATTTTTGCTTCAAGTTATCTGTATTCTGAAAAGACATAAACAAATATAGTATTCAACGCATTGAAATAACCCCCCCCCCCCCACCTCCCCCATCATCCATCTATCTTCTAACCCAGACGTAATGTAACCCAGTTGGTTACTTAATTCTGAGCGAGTAGCAAACTTGAAAACACCGAAGACATCAATGGTATCTCATGAAGATCTTTATTTGTTGACGGGCTACAATCTGGCACGCAGGCAGGGACAGTCACGACGATCTCC